GAGCTGCACTTTAGCCCTGCATCTGGCTTTTTATCGTAATGGGAAGAGAGATCACCACTCACTCTGCAGTAGTCACAGGGATTAATCGGCATCAGCATTTATGGAAACACAACACCTGGGTAAACGCGCTAATTTTAGCTCCCTCAAACAGCTATGATGGGCCGCCACAAAATACTGTCTGTCTCCACCTGAACAGCGTTGAAACACTTTTCCAAATAAGTCTGCACTGAGTTCGAATGAGAGACTGAATGTAAGTCATATAAAAAAGATGTTTCTCTGGCCTCCTGCTGCTTTCTACTGTTTAATAACCTGCTTTCCGGCTTGTCCGTGACATCGAACGAGACACAACAAAAAACCCACACACACAGAAAGGCCTACCGTCTGCTGCAGAGTCTTGTGCACAGCTCTGATCTACTCGCACTGGGAACAGAGTCTATCACATATTCTTAGCAGGTTTACTTGTGTTTAAAAAAATCTGAGTACACGAGCTCATTTTGGTGGAAAAGAGGTTTTTCTGTTCTCCAACACGTTGAACTGTTCCTGGAGCTCCTCTCTCCAACTATCACCAGCGTTTCCACTATTTTCCTGCAACAAGTCAGTAACAACACAAAGAGACTTCACCCTGAGCGAGCAGACGACACCACGACAGGTACAAACAAAACAAAAAAAACAAGCTTTGGTGGACGCAAACTGACGGTGCTTCAAATTGTCTCTGTCAATACTGGACCAGTTTTAAGGAATTGTTCCTTCCATTTGTCACTTAGACACAAAATGTGAAGATCGGCTCCAGTTTTAATTTGACCAGCTGTTATTTTATTTTTTTCCCATCTGTTTTTATTGGTTGATGGTTGAACGTGTTTCCAGCAGTGACGGCGTCTGTGTGTGTTTGTTTTTTGCCAGGATGTTGAGCTGGGTGGTCAAAGTCGTTCCCCAGCCGCCTGAGCCTCCACCCAAAACAGCTGACGAGAAGAAGGAGGAGAAATCAGCCGCTGCCCCGCCTCCTGCAGCTGCCCCGCCCCCAGCTGCTGCCCCGCCTCCTGCAGCTGCCCCAGCCCCTGTTCCTGTAAGCCACGCCCCTTATTTGTTACACTGTCATTTTGATTTTTATATTTTTATTTTCATTGAGTTAACTTTTCTGGGGCACCTGATTCTCTGCACCACTGAATAAGCAGAAGGCGTGCGTGTTCAATCCGGTCTCACTGCCAAGTCATCGGAAAGTGGCGCTTGGTCAGTGACTTCCGGCGTCACCGACAAAAGAAGCTGTCCTTTCACGTCATCAAAAAACTGTCCAAAAATATTTGCATGTTTTGATTGACAGACATTTCCATGTTACATAAATTTCTGAATCAGGATATACTGACTGTTCCATCAATAAAAATGGTCAGAATTTGTAATCTCACACACAGAGGTGATTTTAATCTCTGCCGAAAGATGATTTTATGTTTTAGATAAATAAGACATGATGTATTACTGTAATAATAACTTCGTAATGATGACATCACACTGTGTTTTCCACAGGAGAAGAAAGTGACGTTTCAGGATGAGACTAAAAATGAAGGTAAGACGGCTCACACAGTGAAAATCATCTGCTTCAGTTCACGTCCCTCGTATTAAACATAAATATTCATCTTTTTTTTATTAACAGCTCCGAAAGCTGACAAACCCAAACAGGAAGTCCAGGTGGCGGAGGAGAACGGGTGAGTCCAGCTGACGTCCACAGTGACGTCAACATAAGTTATCAGAGTTAGGGCCGTTTCATAGTCGACGCAAAGGCACGCAGACGCAAACGCATTGGGACACATCGAGATGCATTGGCTGCCATGATGCGTGCTTGCGTCTCAAATGTGTTGCGACGCGTGTAATACCATGCGTTGCCAGCAGGGATGATGATGCAAGTGATGTACTTGAAATTAACCACTTTTTGTGATTCACAGAAGAAGTAGGTATGAAATATGGCGGGCGAGGAGGAAAAACTTTGTGAACTGGTACAGGCACACCCCCATTTATATGACAGTTCTAGTGCCCTGCACTCTAATGAAATAGCAGTAGATAATGCGTGGAAAGAGACAGCAATGACAAGGGGGACTATCAGTGCAGCAATCAGCAAAGTGTTCTCCACACTTTGACCCTACGATCCGCTGATCTTCCGATGGGTGGATGACCCGCTCTACCTCTGAGCCACGGGGGCAGAATCTGGACACATTGCTTAACATAACATTCCTCCACATGTTCAGGTGCCAGTGCACATGTTGCAGACACAAGTGCACACAGGCGTGACGGTGATGGGCAGTCATGGCAGGCATCCTGGCAGCCCTATGAGACCAGAGATTGGCTGTGTACAGTCTGTTCTGGATTGTCTGGGCAGAGAGCCGTCGGCCATATCATCCCGCAAACCTTGACTGCAAATCTGTAGAAGACTGCCTACAGTTCCTAAGTGCTGACAGGATGAGGAATCGGTCTTCTTGGGGCGCCGTCTTCACAGAGTTATATGGAACTTGGCCTTCAGTTTGCAGATGGTACTGGGGCTCACAGAACACCAGCTTGACTTGCCCTATCGCACGGGCCCTTTCCAGATCAGTCAAATGTGGCGTGCCGATTCTTGGAGCAGACACCAAGTGACCACTGTAGCAGGGCCCATGCTAACAGGTACCTGGGGGTACCAGAAGCTCAAATCAAGAGTCTATAGCAACAGTCAAAAAACCTGTTTGGCATTGGCAGACAAGATTTGGCACAGCCCACATACTCAGCTCTGCTGCTCACCCCACAAATGCATGTTCCTTACAAATGTGGCACCATTTCAAAGAGAAATAAACAGGCTTTCAAACAGATTTATTGCCATACAACAGATGCAGTTTAATTTTCTATCTCTGTCTTTGTATCTAATATCTCAGATTCACCTCTGACCTCGAGTCAGACGTGTTTTCACAGCCAAAGAGAGTGTAATCTGCCTGTTAGATATTTTCTGAAGTTTATTTTAAAATGAAACTTTATTTTTTACAGGCTGTATATCATTTGTGTCTTATCCTGTTTTTATGTAGTTAGGTTTATTTTAAAGGCCCATATACAGAGGTGATGCCTCGCTGCAGCGGTGGCGGGTTCGACTCTTGCATCTTATCCCCCCACTCTCTCTCACTCCCCCATTTCACTCTCTCCTGTCAATTAAAGGCAAAAGCCTGAAAAAATAATCTTTAAAAAAAAAAGAACTACTGTTGTCAATTAGCTCACAAATGCATCACTTCATGCTTTATGTGCTTGTCCTTATGAAGCATCTGTGGCTCAGTGCGTGTTTCAGTTAAAATCTAACGATGACTTTAATTTCCTGTTCTCAGCCCGGCACCTGCGTCTCAGCCCGCAGTGTTGACGTGGATCAGCAGCGCTTTGCCTCAACCTGCACTCTCACCGAAACTGAGCCGAGCCAACTCCACCACCAAGGTGAGGACCAGACACTGACCCAGGATCAGATGGTACAACACATGCACCTAATAATGTCTTCCTTTCTTCTCTCTCCTTCTTCGCCTCCGTCCATCACAGGAGGAAAACACAACACCCAGGTAAGTAGGGTTCAGGCTGAACTGTGGATGAAAACACTTGGACTTGCTTCAATAAACTTGAGACTTGACTTTGGGTCGTTTGACTGATCTCAAACAGTGCCTCGCACAGCAGTTTTCAGGAAGGCGCTGGTGATGTCACTGCCACTCCTTCAGCCACTGTCGAACCTGAACTGTGCTGTAGGTCAGAAACAATCACGGCAGAATCAGATCTGCGGATCAGTTCGGCCGTACCCGGAGTGTTACTGCTGAGTGTTCTTCTTTTAGCACCGTACATGTTGTCGTCAGTCTTCGGTTAATGTAACGTTACATCAGCTACCCAGCTAACGTTAATGTCAAGATACTGTTGTCATAGAAAGAAAACCCATGCACAGTATGTTATGTGAAAAGCACTGGGTTGAAGCGCTCCACAGCATCTTGCTAATGATTTACTGCTGAAGGAGGCCCTATGTAGACTCACACTGTTAGACTTGCTTTGATAAGACTTGAGACTTGTTTTGAAAGACTCCAGTCTTGACTTGGACTTGTTTTGATAAGATTTAAGACTTGTTTTATAAAGACAACAGGCTTGACTTGGACTTGTTTTGATAAGATTTAAGACTTGTTTTATAAAGACAACAGGCTTGACTTGGGCAGCTGTGGACATTGGTGAAATGATGAATCAGAAGATAATCTGTTGTGACCCCTCGAAACACTCGAGGTCCTGGTCCCACCTAAGGGTAGACAACAAGTCCAAGTCACATCTCAAGTCTTAAAATGACTAAATCATGTCTCGAGTCTTCAGCGTGTCATGTTGTACTGATGAGGATGAGTTTAATGTTTCAGGTTGACTCTTCTCTGTAAACTCTGTTTTTTATGACTCTGACGTGTCGCAGTAAAAAGTTTCCTGATGTTTCTTCTGCGTTCTGTTTTTTCCTCTGACGACAGTAAACCTGAAGACGAGTGAGTAACCACCACAGGAAACACTGCCAAATACTGAGCTGCTTTAAAAACCTGTCAGCAGGCAGGCTGCCAAATACTGAGCTGCTTATGCACAGTGCTAAATACTGAGCTGCTTATGCACAATGCCAAATACTGAGCTGCTTTAAAACCCTTGAACATGCACAGTGCCAAATATTGAGCTGTTTTGCCAACATATTAACGAACAGAATGCCAAATAGTGAACTACTTTAAAATCCATCACCAGGCACAATGCCAAATAGTGTGCTGCTTTAAAACCCTTTAACATGTGCAATGCCAAACAGTGAGAAACTCTGCCAGATAGTGAGCTGCTTTACCAACATATTGACAAACAGAATGCCAAATAGTGAGCTGCTCTAAAACCCTTCATCAGGCAGGCTGCCAAATAGTGAGCTGCCTTGCAAACACATTGACATACGGAGAGCTAAATACTGGGCTGCTCATGCACAATGCCAAATAGTGAGCTGCTTTATTAACCCATCAGCAGGGACAATGCCAAATAGTGAGCTTGCCTATAAGCCCATCGACAGGCAGAATGCCAAAGAGTGAGACACACTGCCAAATAGTGAGCTGTTTTGCCAACATATTGACAAATGGAATGCCAAATACTGAGCTGCTTTAAAACCCTTGAACATGCACAGTGCCAAATAGTGAGCTTGTTTATAATAAGCCCATCGACAGGCAGAATGCCAAAGAGTGAGACACACTGCCAAATAGTGAGCTGTTTTGCCAACATATTGTCGAACAGAATGCCAAATACTGAGCTGCTTTAAAACCCTTCAACAGGCAGGCTACCAAATAATGAGCTGCCTTGAAAACACATTGACAAACAGAAAGCTAAATACTGAGCTGCTCATGCACAATGCCAAATAGTGAGCTGCTTTATTAACCGATCAGCAGGCACAATGCCAAATAGTGATCTTTAAAAAAAATAAAAATAAAAATAAAATCCTAAAGTCAAACTTTGTGTTTCACCTTCAGTCTGTGGACGAACCGTCAGCCGCCAATATTCTAAAACGTTAAATCTAGAAGCTAAGTGGAGTCTCACTGAAACACTTCCTGCCTTTAATTAAACTCCGAGTTCATCACCTTCAGAGACTCAGAGCTGCTTCTGTTGATCACATGATCTTTGTCACATTCGTTCCAACGACATCTCAGATCGTCAAAGTTTCAGGCTGTAGTGACGGAAGAAACGAACGAACCAATCGCTCTGAACGTCTCTTTAAGAAATGAATCTGAGTGCTCATGATACATGTCTTAACGCAGTGACGACGAATGAGGAGAAATTAATCAGACTCGAGTTGAGACCTCCGCCAGCCAAGGCTGCTGGTGCGTTCAGGTGCTCCTTTTCAAACTTAGGTGTGTTCATGAGCTTTAAGCTGTGGTGTGGAAACAACATCAGAGAAGATGATCAAAGGAAACGGATCAGGTGAGACGTATGATCCAGAACTCACTTTGCAGATTATTCCAGAGGCACATGAATGCAGCACAAGGTGGTGGAGGTCACTGAACTACTGCCATTCGCCCCTCAAAAACAACAGACGGTTGTTCAGTGACATTTCTGTCACATTGTATTGAGCTCACAGAGCCTCCGTACATACAGACGCACGCTCAGTCACTGCATCATCATCCCCCGGCAGAGCTGAAGAGCCGCCGATTTACACGTGTGCGTACGTAAACTCGAGCGGGCAAGGTATCTGTCAATCATTTTTAATGTGGCCAATCAGAGACTTACAATCCCATGTTAGTCAAAAACTTCTCAGTTTTTAATTCAACCAATCACTTCACAGCAGTGGGACGAGTCAACATTTCAACTATTTCGTTCTCATCGGCATCACAGGCTCGTAAGACTATAGATTTCTTGTGCCTGGGAGGCTCTAACGATCTAACGTTGAGGAGTTGATAAGCAGACAGCGCTAGCTAGTGAGCTATTGCGCTACCTAGTGGAAACGTTTTCTGCTTCCACTTCAAAGGGGCAAAAAAGCGAAATCGTTTCACCGCTAGGTTCGCTGTTGTGCACTGCCTGTAGACCAAACAAAGTGTGTCATGAGCCACACCTCCCTCTACCTCTGCTCTCCACCCCCCACTCACCTTACCTATCTGTGCAGCCGAGCACCGCAGCACCTCCACGGACTATTACATCCAGACGGTCCCGGTGTTTCCTCCTCAGGCTCCACTTCACTCAGCTGCCCGATAAACCCGCTGCTTCTTCCCACTTTAACCTGAATAACAAACCAGGGCTCGGTGCTCCGGTTGGATCCAAACGGAGAGCCGGGGCTAGCTCAGAGACTAGCGGAGGCTAACTGGCTGTGCTTCCCTTCCAGTCATGCTCCCAGCTAGCTCTGGTTTGTTATTCAGGTTAAAGTGGGAAAAATCAAAAAAGACACTGAAGGAGATAACTATACTGTTAAACGTGCATGTAGGAAAACAAAAGAGAAACTGACAACATGTTTTTCAATGATTTATAAAGCTGAAAGGTTCATTTACATGAATCAACTCAGAGGAACTGATCCAGTGCAAAGAATCAATCGGCCCATCTCTCCCAGTCGTTGGCTCCTGTAGCGTCTCTGCAGCGCCCTCTGCTGTTCAGCAGCTGTCTGACGTCCATTCACTCTCTGTCTCTGTTTGTTCTTCACCTCAGAAAAGGGATGATCGCTTGGATCGCTCAGGGTTTGGAGAAAGTCGTTCCGAAGCCTGAACTGAACAAGAAGGAAACAGCAGCAGAAGCAGCAGCAGCAGCAGCTGAGCCGCCGGCCGAGGTACATCACAGTTACTGCACGACGTCCTGCACCACAGACAGGACAGAAATACACTCCTGTGGTTTTATCAGAGAGCAGCAGACCTGTACATTGATACCTGTGACATTTACAGGTTTACATAATGTAAAAGATAAACACGACGACACTGAAGGAGATAACTATACTGTTAATCCTGAGATCACAGTGGTGCCATCATAGATGTATGAAGACCACTACAAATCAGTCGTGTCAGTGACACACAGCAGCCTCAGTGTAGCTGAACACTGAATGTAATAAGAATGATCATTTGTTGCTTTGCATCCACTCTCCATAATGTCTGATGTGATGTGTGGGCTTTGTGTTATGGTTTTGTTGTACTTCTGTGAAACAGTTGACGTCTTGGGACGCAAGACAAATATTTTGTTCTCATGATGATGTGAAATTAAATCAAATTCAAATCAACATGGTACAGATGCGAGAAGTTATGGACCTGGTGTATTAGCTTTTCCTCAAAGCTGCTGACATGCTGACTGACCCCTGACCCTGCCACGTCACCATACCATCCCTACGCTGCCCCTACCGTTCATCTGCATGCTGCGTCTTGTGGATGCATCACGTCAACACACCAGACAGATGCAGGATACACTCGGCAGCCATCATGCACATGTGAAGACATAGTTAATGTATCTCCAGCTTAAAGTTCAGTAATGAACATGTTATATCTCTGCAAAACAAGAACATTGATTTAAAGGAGCCTGTGAGCATATGTCCTGAAAAACGTCAAACTCCACGGAAACCCCGAACAAAACCTTCACTAATGTTGAAACTCAAGACTAACCCTGAGGAGACCAAAACGATCCCAGAAATTCAGAGATAAACCAGAAAACCTGAACAACTCAAATAAATAGATAATTCTTTAAAAAGGGAAAAACATCAGTGATCCTACATTTCCCATGATGCACCTCACCTGATGAAAGGTTTCTAATGCAGACTCTGTCTTGTACAGTTGTCCAGATGTCCCTGATATAGATGTTATTAACTCAGGCTGAGTTAAACTAACTGTGTAAAATCAGTGGAATGCTCCTTTAATGTCAGAACTTAGCCACGACTCCACCTGTTGGTCATGTGACCTGATGTGTGTGTGTGTGTGTGTGTGTGTGTGTGTGTGTGTGTGTCTCCTCAGGTGCGTCCGACAGCAGTGGCTGATAAAGGTGAGACAGATGTGAATGTTTATGCAGACACAGCAGAGACTCAGAGTGGACGATAAATCATGACATCATACTGTGGTTTGTTTCAGCTGCAGAGCCGCCGGCCGCTGTCGTGGCAGAGAAATCAGTCCAACAGGACAAAACTGACACCAATCCACCGCCACCGCCACCCAGGTCTGTGTGTGTGTGTGTGTGTGTGTGTGTGTGTGTGTGATAGTTCCTAGTGACATTCACTTAAAAACAAAAGGCAGTGCGCTTCGAGTTTTGCAGCCTGCACTCAGGATCATGTGTGACATCAGAACATACATGTTTATGTGACCGACAGGATGATAGACTGGATCAAACAGGGGATAGAGAAGGTGGTTCCTCAGCCGGAGCTTCCTGTTCGCTCAAAGACAGAAGTCAGCGAGAAGACTGAAGCTCCTGCTGCGCCTAAAGGTCGGCCTCACAGCATCATGTCACATGTTCTTACCTCACAGTGATGTCATGGCATCAGAGGTTAAACCCGAGTGTCTCCTGTTTCTGTCAACAGCCGAGACTCCGGCACCAAAACCTGCTCCGGTACCAAAACCTGCTCCGGCACCAGAACCTCCTCCAGCCCCGAAACCTGCCCCGAAACCTGCCGACGACACAGAGAAGTGAGTCAGATCTCTGTCAGTGTGTGGTGAACTTTACACACTTGAATTACTGCGAGTCAGAGACAGAGATATCTGAAGGTATGAGAGGGAAAGAAAGGGATTCAAAGAGGGACAGAGTGAAGGTCAAAGGTCAAGATCAAGTGGACAAGTCTGTTAGAGAGAAACATGTTGATTTATATTTGCAATAGGTGCAGTTCAAGCTCCAGTGTGTAGGATTTAGGTGACATTTATATCTACACTGGGAGCAAGAGTCTTACTTATAAAACAGTGTGTAGGATCCAAACTAAAAATGTTGCTCCCACCTCACCGTCTGCGTCACCCCATTTCCTGTCTCCAAAAAGTTGGTAAGCATGGGTCAAGTTTTTGTGAGGTGGCATACGCCTCTTACAAACCTCACTTTGTGTGTTCACAGTGTTTATAAATGAGACCCCTGGTCCTTGTTTACAGAGATCACCATGTTGCACTGCCATGTTTGTAGTCCAGAAAGTACAAACCAAACACTGGCTATAGAGAGAGACATTCAGGTTTTTGTGTCAGCTACTGTAGTTAGCGGCCCCTCCGCGACAAGAGTGTCTGCAAAACACATGAAACGGTGTTATTCAGTGTTTTTTAGTGGTTTATATCACCAGGGGTGATTGGTGGTGAGACAGCAAAGTATCGAGCAGGATTTGATTTGACGTGTCTTGTACAATCAGAAGGTGCTTTTGGAAAAGTTCTGTCTCACTGGCACAAACACAAATAACACTGCTGCATCTGAAGTGGGTCTCTAAGAAATGTGTGATGTGAGGTGAATTAAAATGGGTGAGAGGTTGTTATAATGATCCCTGTCACAGTCTGACTTCAGTTCATCACCTCACCATCTGTGTTGCCAATTTCCCATCTCCAAAATCAGAGTTTCCCTAAATGTACCTAAATGTCTCTGTGAAGTTTTTCTTTACAAACCCCAATTTATGCTTAGAGAATGGCGCACACACATTTCAGTCCTGTTTATGTGCGTACGCAGTGCTTATAAATGAGGCTCCAGGTGAAAACACTGAATAATCATCTTACCAAAAAAAATCTGTCTTTTTTACAACGCTGTTCTTGATGGAGGGGCTGTAACTACTGTGGCCAACAGGAAAACATGAATGTCTCTGTCTTAAATCAGTGTTTGGTTTGTCTGTTCTGGGCTACTGTAGAAACATGGCGGTGCAACATGGTGACCTCTGTAGACGAGGACCTGCTCCCTGTGTAGATATAAACGTCTCATTCTAATATTTTTATAGTTTATACACTAAAGACAACAGACTGATTATATTATATTCCTTTCCCTGAATCCTGCACACTGGAGATTTAAAATTAAAACCAAACATAAGATTAAGTCTTCTCAGTGCAGTGAGAGACATTTTTGACACAATCTCCAACACATCCTTTTCCTCCTGAACGTTATGAAAACCCAAAAACAGTCATATGCCACATATGGTATATTAAAGCTGGAGTCTGACCTGAAGCCAATTGACCTATGGCTAAGCCACGCCCCCTCCACTCACTCGGACAAACTATCAACATTCAGTGAGCGGCGCTATGGCAGGTGTCACAGTACACGGCATTTCACAGGAGGCAACTGATGATTTTTGGGGACGTAACGATCAGATGTCATTGAGAAGTAACCAAAAGGGCCTAAACTACGCATTGGAGGGATATATTCATCATTTTATTGTTGAGAAGGTCGATGAAAAGCTTAAATTACAAGCCAAAATTTACAGGTCACAGTGTACGCTTGTGAACCGCATCTGGTTGCCGTCACCATCAAAGACAACAAGTTAAAGTGCCACTGAAGTTAAGGTTTTTGGCTCAGAATATGAGAAAAGGATAACGGCCTTTTTACCATCTTTACCAAGAGTGTCTCTCCGTTAGTTTGGTGCTACAGTATTTACACTGAATCATTCAGCATAACGTTTGCCAACCTTTGTTATCTCTGCCATTACAGATAAGTTAATGAAGCTAAGCTCCAGAAGTTAACGTTAGCTTAACTAGAGCCCTTTGGACAACAGCTAACAATGATGTACTATCACCAAAGTACAAAACTAGAACAAAATAGGCTAATGAACTCCCAGCAAACAAGGTGACATGATGAACAACGCAGCTAGGAGCTAACGTTAGGCTAACTTTAGCTAACGTTAGCTAGAGATGTTAAAGATAACTTTATATTTCTTTCCAGCAAAGTGACAATATGTTGCCTCAAACACAATGTTGACTTACCTTAGAACAGATGTAGACATCATTGTTAATCTTATTCACGTTGAGTTGATGTTGTGGTCTAACGTTACCACACAACTTTATCCAAAGGAGACACTTTTCTCGTTTGAGATGTGGTTTAAAGTGTAAAAATACACCTGGTCGCCCAGCCTCTCAGGATACCTTGTGTCAGAGTTGCATGTACCCCATGCACACCGTTTGACCATTTTTAAACTTCAAATCTCAGAAAAAGCTCATAAAACCGAACAAACTGACTTTCTGTAATGCATTTCAATGGACGTCCAGGCAGAGAATGTCCCAGTGTATGGGGATGGCTATACGCACTGTGATTGGCTCATCGCGTTTGAGGGCGGGGCTTAGCCATAGGTCAACTGGGTCGAGTCCAGTCAGGTTCAGGTGGAGAATCAGCCGTGTTGGAATCACAGCTAACTACAGGTGTCAAAGTGTCGGTTGTTAAACACTGATCTCTTTTCTTTTGTCCTCACAGGTCTCCCAAAGAAGCAGAGCCGCAGCCCAAGTAGGTGGAAACACGTTGATCCAACATCACACAAGCATCAGAGCTCGTAGCTTCAGATGGAGTTTATTCTCTGGAAATAAAACTCCAACATTTTAAAAAGACATTACGAGCAAACAGAACATTTTAACATGAGTGGTTGATGTGTGAATACTGTGGTTAAAGTCAGACAGAATCGTAACATCAGATTTGAAACAGGAAGTAAAACGTCAGAGATGCTGAGTGTAGATGTTTTATCCTCAGCGAACATAAGACCGTCTGACATGCTGGCTAACGTCACACAGCTACAGGCTGTGACCATAATGTCTGACATACCCGAGTGTCTGAGGTCAGGACCAATGACTTTGGACAGACAGTGTTTGATGAGGTCTAACTGCTCTGTGTTGTGTTGATAGTATGATGGGATGGATCGTCAGTGAGATCGGTCGTATGTTACCTCAGCCTGTACAGAAGCAGGTGAGTCGCCGCAGTAATTCACATAGATCCACATTAGGACAGCTGACCGTCACTGATTATGTCATTATAACATTTGTTCTCCTCCTGCAGGACTCGAGCAGCGATGAGGTGCAGAACAGTAAGTATGAAGCTTTCCACAGCTCACACACACTGACACATTACACTCTGCTCGGTGGAGAATCACGTTACTCTCATATCTGATATCATTGTGCACGGCTGTCGGCAGCTGAATTTTGTTAAAGAGGAACTAAACCCTAGAGTTTGGGCTAAATAATCTGTCACCTGGGAAATCGAAAAATACCTCTGAAACGCAAAATGGTATCAACATGCGCAGAGGTCAGAGAGAGGCCTGAGACACGCCCACTCACTACTTCAGACTGTGATGGGACGGGAGGGGGTGGCAACAAAAGCTGCCACCAAATACATCACCTGCCACCAGATACTGGAAAACCAAAATTACATTTTAATAGTCAGGTTTCAACAAAGGCAGTCGCTGTGTATATTAATAACACAATATAAAGAATTCACAACTGAGTCACCAGAATAAATGTTGGCATTGTACAGACCACACATACACAACATCTGTACGTTATTGTGTCGGCTTGTTTTAACATCACTGTGGTTAATGTGTGCCGGCACAAAAAACACTCGGTTAGGAAAAGATCATGTTTGGGCTTAAAATATCCAGTTTATTTGGCACAACCACCGCTGGAGATGTAAAAACAACCGCTTTTAGTTGCACCTCTCAGGCAGGAAACGCAGCAATGTCACGTTAAAAACAACTGCTTTAATTTCTGTAAAAAGACCTGTCTTTCTTCGTGGCATTATCCCGGCAGAAAATGTAGTAATGACTCGCAAAAAACTAAAATTGCTTTTTGTGGCACCATTCTGACAGGAAACATGGCAGTGTCTTGTTTACAACCAACTGCTTCTAGTGTCACATTAATTTCAGGAAATGCAGCCATGTCTTTGTAAAAAAAAGAACTGATTTTTCAGTTGCACTTTTCATCAAGGAAACGTGGCAATGTCTTGTGAAAAACAACCAATTTAGTTGCACTTCTCTGTCAGGAAACGCAGCAATATCTCTGTAAAAAGAGGTATTTTTTTCGTTGCTCTGTCGCGGCAGAAAATGTGGTTGGGTTTTTTCTGTGGCTCTATTCTGACAGGAAACATAGCGATGTCTTGTTTAAAATCAATCACTTTTAGTGTCACTATTCTGGAAGGAAATGCATCGATGTCGTGGTAAAAAACAATCACTTTTAGTTGCACTTCTCTGGCAGGAAACGCAGCAACATCTCTGTAAAAAGAAGTGTCTTTTTTGTGGCACCATCCTTGGCAGGGAACGTTGCAGTTATCTCAGTGAAAAGAAACACTTTTTGTGGCACTATATCAGAAAGGAAATGCAGCAATGGGTCAGTAGAACACAACAGGTTTTGTTAATTGGTGTTGAACAGTGTCTGCAGCTCTGCAGGCGTCTCTCTGAGGTGTCTCACCATCCACCACCCCCTCCACCTCCTGATGACACAGTCAGTTCAGATACTACGACACTTTAAGGTGTGGATGCATCAAACCGACATCAAAGAACTAGCGGTGACGAAAGCCAACTGTTGTGTCGTCTACGTCGCCTCACGTCGCCCTGTGTCAGTTGCATTTGAACACACTACACGGACTACATCCGACGGCCAAGTAGCACGTACGTTCTGCGCCTGCGTGAGAGAGAGCGGAGTGAGAGAGTGGTACATCCTGTCAGCCGAGGGGTTTCCTATCTGTGCAGCCGAGCACCGCAGCACCTCCACGGACTATTACATCCAGACGGTCCCGGTGTTTCCTCCGCAGGCTCCACTTCACTCAGCTGCCCGATAAACCCGCTGCTTCTTCCCACTTTAACCTGAATAACAAACCAGGGCTCGGTGCTCCGGTTGGATCCAAACTGAGAGCCGGGGCTAGCTCAGAGACTAGCGGAGGCTAACTGGCTGTGCTTCCCTCCGGTCATGCTGCGGCTAACGCTCCGCTAGCCGCTCCCAGCTAGCTCCGGTTTGTTATTCAGGTTAAAGTGTGAAGAAGCAGCGGGTCTGTGGGGCAGCTGAGTGAAGTGGAGCCTGAGGAGGAAGCACCTGTTAGCCCCGGTTTCACTACAGGCAGATTCACTCGCTACAGGGGCGAGGAAATAAAACCTGAACAGCCAATCAGAGTGATCTCTCTCACCGACAAGCTCCGCCACCGATTCAACATGCTCAATCGCCCAAAAAGCCGCCGACGCCGAAGTGCTGACAGAGCGGGACACACCGCAAAAACTAGGCCGACAGACGCTCACCGACGGTCCGACTTTGGTCAACGGCCAACCGTCAGCTTGGTGTGTCAGGGCCTTTAGAAACACAGATATGATGTGTATGAAACGTGTAAACGTAGTTTGCCAATATTTTCATCTGGTGACTGGCTGAAAATTCAAATAATTTGCATTACAGTGTCAAGATTTAGCAAACACTACCAAATACCCTGATACACTGGTTTTCAGCTGAAAGAAAGTGCTTTGGTTTTAGTTACTCTTTAATGTACAGATAATATTTACAGGTAATAAACAGAAGCTACAGACACAACTTCACTGCAACAAAAAGGTTCAACCAGACGGTTGTGTGGTGACATAACATCTAAAAAGCTTTTGTAAATTAAACTATGGTTGTAGATAATTAGTTTTCTTTGAGTCTTTTATTACTTTCATTTACATCCAGTGTTGAAACTTATTAACTTTATTTAAAAGCAGCTTTACAGCAGCTGCATTTTTTTTTCTGACCTTCAGTGGTTTAACTTCCCACCCTGCAGCAGTGATGTAGACTTGCACCTCAGGGTGTGTCCATACACTGTGACATCACTGCTGGGTGTGGTCACAGGTGTCAGACTTGTCTTAACTATAACTAACACATGCATTGATTGATTGGTTGATTTATTAAATGATGGGTTTGCTAGCTGTGTACTGATTGGCAGGTTGGTGTCAGTGATGAGGCAGACTCTAACCGGGCTGCTCTTCTCCTTCTGTTTCAGGGGGGAAAGGCGGCAAGAGCCCCTTAAAATAAAAGGAGAAGGAAGAGCAGGACAGAGTCGCTCACACTGACACTGACTGACTGAAGGACACACAGACACACAGACACACAGACACACAAACAGACCCCATTAACTTCATCCTGTAGTGATTAAAAGCTGCTCTGCTGTAGGTTTTTGCACAGCTATGATGCATCATTAACTTTTCTTTACTAAATGTAACTGAAAAAACTTCAGAACACACAGAGTGAAATCTGAAATTGTTTTCTTTATGATGTCTGCTGTAAACACATTCAAACCTGTATGGATCAGGAACATAATTGTATTAATTTCCCCAGTTTTCACTCTGATGTTTTTAATAATGAAAATACAGTCTGAGATCCACAGTTTGGCTGTGAATATATTTAAACCTTTGTATTTCAAAGAACCAGTGATAACAGAAAGTCTTTATTGGACTACCTGGTTCAATAATCCATGCTGCAGTATAGTAACTACCCACTGAGCCCAACTCAGCTGTCAGGGTTAGTTCAGTAGTTAGTTCAGTTTCCAGCCTGGAGCCTGTTTCCATGTTTATTGTCTAGGGGTGCTTTCACACCTGCCCTGTTTGGTTCAGTTCAGTCAAACTCCAGCTGGTTTGCCCCCTCAGTGCGGTTTGTTTGTGCAGGTGTGAACACACCAAAACAACCAGACTGAGACCTTCTTGAAGAGGTGGTCTCGGTCCGGTTCCAAAGGAACTCTGGTGCGGTTGGTTTGTGGTGAGAAGGTGTTCCGACCTGGATGTGAAGCAACTGCAGTCACATGACACATTGTTTGGGTTAAACATGAGCATGTTACAGTCCTGGAGGATTATTAATGTGCACCTCCTCCTGTACTGCCTTAATATGCACTTTCAGCACATCCAATGCATCAAAACATTGTTTTCTAGTTGGAGCTGCGCCTCGTTTTCAAACTGTATGTTTTGACTAAAATGAACAATGACAGCAATATAGTCCACGATGAGCAGCGCTAAAATCAACCTGCGTAGTTGTCCCTCCATTGTGACATTAGAAAGTGTCACATTTATCTTGCAAGTGTACTCTTCTTCAACGTTTGCTTTACTTCCTGGATTTTTCCCACATGGAAATTCTGACCAATCAAGAGCAGCTTTCTCACACAAGGCATTTGATCTGGTCCTCTTGTAAATGCTGCCGTGAGAACACTAACCAACTCTAGGCAATTATACAACTTTGGAACAACATGAGTCCCTGATTCAGACCAGAGGAGACCACTCTAGGGCTGACAGCAGCCTGAATGACCAAACACTGGTCCAATGTTAAGAGAGAGCCCAGCAGCTGTGAAAGAGGCTGTAATGTAACCACTCTGTTCACACCGTCAGTGTCTGTCCACTAAATCTGTTTGTTTGGTCACTGACAGGCTCAGATTGTTATTCTAAGTGTCTGACAGCATTATGAAAGGACAGAGACAGAGCTTTGTGTTAAAGAGTAAGATCCTTTTTGTTTAACCAGAAACAGTCCTGAAATCACCGTCACCAAACCCACCAGACTCCATTTAAATAAAGTCATGTTATCATCATAAAACACACTTCATTTAAAACCAACAGAAACCATCTTGGTTATCTCTCCACTGTTCCAACAGTCACCAGCTGTGGTTTGGTGTAAATTAACCCTTAATGCACCAGTTAGCTGTGACAACGTGCTGCCTCTATACACACTAACATGACTGTTTATTTAAATGGAGTCTGGTGGGTTTGGTGACGGTGATTTCAGGACTGTTTCTGGTTAAACAAAAAGGATCTGACTCTTTAACACAAAGCTCTGTCTCTGTAGGGATCCTTTCATAATGCTGTCACACACTTAGAATAACAATCTGAGCCTGTCAGTGACAAAAACAAACACTGTTAGTGGACGGACACGGACGGTGTTACATTACAGCCTGTTTCAATACTGCAGCGTTCTCTCTCAACACTTGTCCAATTCCAAAACTTTTGTTCCCATTAGTCACCTGAACAAGAGAAAACCAAACATGGAAAAACGCTCCAGGTTTACTAGAAATACTGGAGTTCACCTTTTAACAGGGATTATTCTGCTGTCTGTGCTACTCAATGGAAACTTGCATAATATATTAGTTACAGTTCTGAGATCTGGACCGCTGACAGCTCAGGACATCTGTTGTGTTATCTAAAGGCTTTTGCTGATGAAGGCAGCTAACTAAGAACAGACGTCACAACTCACTAAGGCATGTTGCTGTATGTTCATGAAAATAAAGACATGGATTGGAAAATAAAAGAACTTTGTTGAGTGTTTTTGTTGTGTTGGTTGGTAAACCTGAACATGTTGGGAAAGGGAATCAATCAATCAATCAATCAATCAATGGGTCTATCAAACAGTTATTAAAGGTTCTGTATGTAACTTTCTACATCATTTTTTCAACAGTTTGTAACGGAACTTAAAAACAGAGACTTTCCCTGACTTCCTCCGTTGCCTGTGACGGCCTCTGGACAGAGTTAAGGACAAATTTTCAGGGAAAAGCCAAAGAATGTGATGAACCTTAACCAAGACATCCCTTTTGGAAAAAAGCCTTCTGGGCAAACTTTCCCCAACAGCAGCTGCTAACGTTAGCTAAGACATGGAATCTGCTAACATCAACAAATGACCGGCACCCAACAGAGTCCACACATGCTGTGTTTCAGTTACATTTAGCAGCGGCAGCCTGGAGACGAACCTTCACTTAGCGTTGAGGTTTGTGCTGACTGAATTAGAGCCGCTGACGGAAGGTCCGTCTCTGGAGCTGCTGTCCATGTTCCTCCTGAGCAGATTGTCTCTGAGCAGCAGATGTGAGGCCAAAACTACGTTAGCTAACTCTTGTGTCATTTTTGGTCTGATATACAGTATAAAGTCAGTGCCCCATATCATAAAATAAGGTCCTGTCTATATGTATACACATATTTTTGTGAACAGTTTTTAGTCACTAAAGCAGATGTGGTGAAGATTTATCATAACTCTGTTTACTGTTTATCTGTGTGGACGTGTAACACTGAGCCTTTGGAAAACATTGTTATCTTGTCAAGTCACGTGTACTGATTGATATTTTGTGTAATGAGCAAACTCTGGAAACAACATCAACATTTTCATTTAAGATTCAAAACTTATTAACTGATAAATTCGTTGATACAAAGATATGTGAGCTCTGCCAGTAGAAACACTCCAGAAAATAGACGATAACCAGAAGAATTCTCTGTGACATGAATTTAATTAATTTCCTGTGGTTGATATGTTAACAAGACACACAGTTAATCCTCGACCCTGCTCTTCCTGCCATGTGTCGTTCAGTCAGCATTGTACAGAAGAAAACAGACCTGGTGCTGGAGGACATCGGACAGGAAGAGGTCAAGGAGGAGGAGGAGAAGGAGAAGGAGGTAAGACAGGACTTGCAGAATAAAGAGAGTCTGGTGAGCCAGACTCGTCCCTGTTCTGTCTGAACTCTGAGGAAACATTTATTAAGACAGTGACCAGCCTCTCACAGAAATGTGAAATTTGATTCAGACATTCATGCTCCCCAGAGGATGAATCCTACCGACTGTCCAACACTTCAGTTCATGACAGGAAGCCTTTCTTACAAATTACTTTTCCGTCAACCTCTTTTAATTTGAGCACAAGACATAGCATGCTAACATGATAATGGTAGCATGTTTAAATCCAATAGTTATTAGCATGCATGTTATATTGCTAACCAGAGTACCATGATATTTTCAGAGGTGGTACTATGACACTGAGAATGGTACCACAGCAGTATTAGGGTTTTGTCACACTTTGAAGGTACCATGGTAGTACAGGCTTAAGTACTGCTGTGCTTCGGAGACTACCAGATAAGTCCTTTGGTAGGTACCTCAGAGAAGATTACGACTGTTTCCTGACTGACCATTTTTGGACTGGAGGAACTTTTTCATCATTCTTAGAACCTCCTTTTTTATTATGTTTGCAAGAACTAGTAACAATCGTAGTTAGAGGGCCATTGCACTTCTACTTTAGAGTAGGTACTCTCCTAACACAAGCGGAACAGTACGTAAGTGTAAAGTGATTGGTCGAACACACGAGCCATTGCAGCTATGGCAAACGCCATTTTTAAAAACCCATTCACCGTGGAAAAAACTGAACACACAAAACACAAACAACAGCTAATACAAACAAAATGGAAAAAACATAAATGGACCAACAGTCAAGTCCAGGTTTTACTTAGCATGTATGCAACGGGGAAAGTACCACACAGTTTTGACTCGTCTAGGCAAAATACAAGAATCTTAGCCAGCGTACCTCATTTCAACATTCCTATTGGGAGTGCAAATGCAAACAGAGAAAAAAAGCCCTTGAAGGTTCAGTAGTTCTAAGGGGGAGCTTCCCAGTAGGCAGTTACTCTCAGACAGTCCCCAGAAGTGTTTGGTCCGAAAATACCAACTGTTGGACTTTGAAAGGTGCCATAGTAGTAAAGTAGCAGTAGAAAGTTACAGTGTACCATGGTACCCTGCCACTACGGTACACTTAAACCTGAACTGCTACTTATTTATTGGAACACTTGGCAACATGACACTTTGAAGGGTACCATGGTAGTAAGTGCTTAGGTACCAAAGCACTTAGGCTACAAGGGTACTATGATTGTATCATAGTAGGTACCATGGAGAAGGGTACTACGGTAGTTCCAGAATAGGTACCATTGCATATTGGCTTCAAGGCTTCCATGATTGTACTTTGGCATGTACTATGGATTCTACTATGGTCCTTTAGAGAGCTCCAACAACAGTTCCGTTGTAAGTACTTTAGGGAAGGTTATTACAGCAGTTCAAGAATACGTAGCATCGTATATAGGTTACAAGGGGACTATGATTGTAGTACCCCTTGAAGTGTTATGGGATCTAGTGTGGTTCTTTAGAGAATGCCAACAACAGTCCCATGGTAGTAGGTACCATGGGGAAGGGTACTAAGGTAGTTCCACAGTAAGTACCATATCACTTTAAAGGGTAAAGCGGTAGTATCAGAGTAGGTACCATAGCATTTCAGCTACAAGGGTACTGTAGGTGTACTACCCCTTGAAATTCATCGTACCTTCTGTAGGTTTTTAGAGAGTATCAAAAATAGTCCCATTGTAGGTACCATGGGAAGGGTGCTATGGTATTTCCAGAATAGGTACTATCGCATAGCGGTTACAAGGTTACTATGATTGTAGTACCCCTTGAAATGCTTTGGTATCTACTGTGGTTCTTTAAAGTATACAAGAACAGTCTCATGGTAGGTACCATGGGGAAGGGTACTACTGTACTACGGTAGTTCTTTAGTAGGTACCATAGCACTTCAAAGGGTAATATAGTAGTATCAGAGTAGGTACAGTAGCACTTCGGGTACAAGGGGATAGGCAGATACTGCAGTACCCCTTGAAGCGCTATCATACCTACTGTGCTTCTTTCAGAGTACCAAGTCCCATCATGGGTACCATCATACTTCAAAGGGTAGCAGAGTTGCACCAGAGTAGGCACCATGGTACTTTAGAGGGTAAGGGTATAAGTTCCATGATAGATACCATGACATAGAAGGTACTGTGGTGATGATGGCATTGTTACTATAATATTTGAAGAGGCACTCAAATTGTATTTGACAGAGATTTTTCATGTGAGGAAATTTTTGGTTGGTTGCAGAAAGGAGATGCAGAGACCCAGATGGATCAGAGTGCTCCACTGATGGTCAGCATCAAGGAGGAGGTTGGAGAGGCCGTTCTGGCTCAAATGGAGGAAAGGTAGTGATGTCTGCCTATTTGACTTTATATTCCTTTTCTACCTCTTTCTGTTTCTTCACTAAGAATGAAAACATCTGCTGGTTGTTCTCTCCGTCCAAAACTCTGGCCTTTGATTTGTAAGATGTAATAAATTTGCAGCCCTTATGGGACTGTATCAGGACGCACAGGCTGGTTTTTGTCTGTCTTTTGTTCAGGCGCTGTATTTTAGACTGTAATTTCCTTGAATGTTGGTGAGTAACTGAGCTTGTTCCTTGTTGGACAGACTGCAGCAGGGTCGTCTGGAGGCTGCCCGAATTGCAGAGGAGATGGCCAGGAAGGCAGCAGAGGAGGCGGTCCGACAGCTGGAGGTGGAGCATTCGGCTAAGATAGTCATAGAAACGCTGCCAGAGTCCAACAAGCAGTAAGTCACATTAACACACTCAGCATAAGGACACATTTATGCACTAACTGTCCAGTCAAAACCTTGCATTTCCTAACTGCTCTGTGAACAAGAAGCTCACGACTCTGGCTGAATTCTTTCCAGATTGAAGAAAAGCTGAATCTGAGATGAATTTAAATTTTAAGACAAATTAAACTGGTAGTGCGTTTACATTAGATGCTACAAGTACACACAGAGACAAACACATCCAAGACACTGACCACCCTGACCTAAGACACTGTCCTCCTGTTTGTCCTCAACAGACTGCCCAACATCCTGGAGGAGGAAAACGAAGATGACCCAGAGTAAGTCCTCTTGAAACACACCCCGTCACCTGCTGCTATATTGAGTTAACTGCTCATAGTTGCAGCTTCTGTGTCGACTGAAAATGATGTGCAGATCAGATGCTAGCTCACTGCTGATTGCTTAGTCTTGTGGAGGAACAACATCATACTGACACACTTTGTTGGGTTTATTTTCATGTGGTCTTTGTACTGAATCAAAAAGGGAAGAAACTGATATTTATCCTCTGGTTTGACTCTGAGGTGTTCGATACTCAGAGGGTTGGTTGGATTATTACTTCCCCGCCAACATCTGCATGTGGGGCCCTGTGGGTAATAAATGGGCTGAAAAAGGGCCCTACATGTATGTGGGATCATCCAAGGGGCTCCTTATTGACTACATGCCAATTGTCAACATGGGTGTAGTACAGCATTTGGCTGTACTTTGTTATGCACTTTCTTTGAGCACTCTCTGCTGCAATTTTCAACCTCCATAACCTCTTTTGTTTTAAAAAAGCTCTCACCTCGAGCTCTACTGCTCTTTGCTTGACTTAGATGCTGCTCCCTTTAGCAACTAATTGCTTTCTGAAGCAATGAGTTGAACTGTCTGACAGCAGCCCAGTCACCAGGAGGTGATGTTGGCATTGTACGTTTCTTCAGTCCACAGATACATTACATTTGCACATTTCATATGTATCATATCAACATTTCTGAAATGACGTATCTGAGCTGACTTTGTCATCAAGAGGTGGAGGGGATGGTGGATGGTGTGACACCTGGCAACCTACAGACCACTGTTCAACACCAGCAAACAGTCATTACTGGGTTTCCAGTGCATTTTTAGTGTAGTGTAATGTACTGATTTACTGAAGACATATACTGTACCTTTTAGCTGACCTTTAAAAGATATGTGTTGAAGCAATATAATCTGTGCAACTGACAAATTACACACTGGTTTAATATTTCATGTATTCTTATGACACACACACACACACACTTATTGAGCACTTAAGCATTGTGGTGGAGAAGTACCTAGGACTCACTGTGAATCATTTCTAAAAATAGCATGAGGATGGGTTCAGAAAACACTAGTGGAAAATTAGGGGAATTACAGCTTGTCCTGAGAATGACCCTAGAGGGAGAAGGACTAAAAAGTGCTGAGTCAGCAGAAATATGACACCATTATGGTGGAGAAAAAGTGACTCAGCAGAGGTGGGATATGTTACGATCAGAGCCAAGTGAGAAGGATTAAGGGAAAGAGATGACTCAGCAGAAATTCTACGATAAAAGAGCGAGCGCAAACAAAGAAATTCCAGCCTTGCTCCGGAGCTTGGCTCATTTGGGTTGTGATATGTTTGTTGCCTGCGAGCACATTAAACTCAGTTGCATCTGATTCTACGTGTCTCCAGTGATTTTTTTTGACCTCTGAGTATTTGAGTTTTTGATATCTAATGGAAGATAAAGAAAGTCCGTTTGAGAGGAAAAGAGCGCGAGTCGCGAGCTAACTGGCCCGGCTCGGGACCTTGACTTTTTTGCTTCTACATTAGGCACCAGCAGGGATCATAGCACAAAAGGCAATTGTTTTTTACTGAGACATCACTGGTTTTCAAGGTGGGATTGTTCCCATACAACTGGGTATTTTAAGCCAAAACATGATCCTTTTCAAACTGTAACTGAGTGGTTTTCGTACCTTGACTGAACCACGTTAATCAAAATCAAATCAAATCTAATCAAAGTTTGTATCCTCTTCATAATAACATACAAATGTTTCCTCCCCATAGTTTGCAGAAACGTACAATGCTATATATATGTGTATATATGTATATTTTTGCTTTGAGTCGCTGACAGGGGATCTCTGTCTTGTTTGTCCCTTGCTGCACACCGTTCAGGTTGCAGAACCTGCAGGAGGACAGTGACGACAGCACAGACAATAAGTGTCCTGAAGAAATTAAGAAAACAGCTGTGGAGGAAGAGAATAAACCTGATAAGTAAGCTCAGCTACATTTAGATAAAGGCTCTCCCCTGCTCCCATACTTCTGATTTAGATCTGATTTATCTGTAGATCATCACTAATGAGTGTCTTTGATATAGTTATTTACATCATCTCACTGTGGAGTTTTGTGAGAAATGTTTAATTATATTTTTATATAGGTTGCACTTTCCCTGTGCATTAGCTCACACTGAGTGCTTGTACTTTGGTACCATCAGATCTACTGAGCTTATTACTTCTTGCGGGTCTTTAGAGAGACCCGAAGTCCCGCCCTGTTCCAGGTTAATATCTGCTCTTAATGCAGGACACCTGTAAAATGTGGACGTTCTTGATTCCTTGGCTGCACCCAGACAGAATTTCTGGGTGCAGCTCAGACAAAGAGAGTTGAGATGATTTACGACCTTGGCAAAGTGCTAACCCCAAACCCGAACATCCCCAGGAAGACATCCTGGGTTCACAGGCCTTCTCCATTTACACAAAACACATGTAGACCAGATGGGTAAACATTCATGACTCACCTAGTGTCTTCCTCTCATCCATTGTTCCAAAACCAGTATGGAATTGGCCTAAGATCCTTTCTAGCTCCTCAGAATAAGCTTTCTTGACAGGGTCAATATAGACCTTCAGATCCTCTTTAAGAAATGGGAACCACCACCCATTTGGTTGGTGTGGTGTAGAAGTCCACAGGCGCTGTCCCTGACCTCCATGTCATATTTAACAGGTATGTCAACCAAGGCGGACAAACAGTTTGTAGAGCCTTTAGTATCTCATCTTCCCCGGGCACTTTGCCACTGCTGATCTTTTTGGCTACCTCATACCTCTTTTCCACTGACATGGAAAAGGCTCTGTTCTTCTGTTCTCCACACATAAGGGCCCTGGCTGGCCGGGATATTCGAATCCAGAACCATCTCGCTGTGAGGCAAGAGTGCTAACCACCGCACCACTGTGTCACCCATTCACCGAATTGTGACCAACATGTTTGCTTCAGAACCTGAAAAGTTGGTTCTCAGCTGGAACCATAAAATAGGAGGTTTTTCTTAACCTGAAGTTTGAACCGTAACAACATCAGTGGGCGCGTCATATTCTTCAGACTGGAGAAGTCAAGTGAGAAGTCGTCAGCAAAAAAGATTGTGCAGTGGTCTCAGTAACAGTCGGCCAATGTTTTTTTTTAACTGTAAAACAGAACAAAAGAATGCAGGTAATCAATGCGATCCACCATCTTGTTACTACTGTTTACATCTGTTGTGCATTGCGTGGCGCCCTCTGTTGATGACATGACAAACTGTTGGAAACGTAGGTGGCTCCTAGATATCGCCAAGGTTAAAAGTATCCTGAATGGGTCCGGTTCAAGAACCAGATCTAATGAGGTGAAAAAGGGGTATCAGTGACACCTGCCATAGAGGTGCAAGGTTTCCACCAGGTCTCTTTACTATGCTTCATCCTACCACGATGTGAGTAGATTGAGCTGGGCTTGAGGTTTAAGATCTTAACTTACCCGTTGATCTATGTGTGTGACATCCTTACTCTAACCAGAATCAATCCAACCAACGAAGACAACAAGTACCAGCCAATCAGAAGGAGAATAGAGCAGGTCACGCCTTCGCTGTCCTAGGAAAAGCACATTTGCGTCCAGTCTAGTTATCCACGTGTCTTAGCTTTCTTAGCTTGGTGTTAGTTTCGAACAGGATGGGACTTTGACTCTGAATAGTTTCTTTATACTCACACAGTTTGCTGCAGGTCTGTTCTGCAAAAGCTTTGTCTCGTTCCACAGCGTCTCCTCGTGGTTTAACTTATTCTGTATTGGTTTTTTCTAACTTTTCCTCCGTGACTCAGGGCAGAACTCAAAAGGTAGGTGTGAATTTTACCGTCAGCTAAACAGCTCACGGACCGAATGCTGGATCTGTGTCTTTGGGTCATTTTGAACCTTTGTTGAAAACATTTTTTCAGGTAGTTGTTCCTGTAATATCTGTATGTGATGGGCACAGTGTGATTAAACAGCCAATAGCTGGTCTCTTAGGGTTATTTTTAAGCAGGGGAAATAATTTATGAACAAATCATTGACCAATCATGTTACTTCTCCACCTCCACCTGTTACAACGACACCGAGGACACCAGTTGGGGATCCTCAGGAGGTTTTATTCTGCTCTTCTGTTGTCCGTTAGGACCATGATGGACGTCTGTCCGATTGAAGACGAGGCCTCTCCTTCATCAACAGATGTGGAACCAGCATCCGAGAGGAGAGACCTGGAGAGTCCGGTCTCCCAAACCATCACCCAGCAACCAGAGTCACAAGCTGAGGCACCACCAACCTCCACTACCACCACGGATCAGGTGAAGCAGGTTATGAGACTCTTTATGTCCAGCAGATATGTAACGTTTGTATGGCCGCAGACAGAGCCATGCTCTGATCAGCTGCAGGGTGTTCTTTATTTTCTGACGTATCATCCTTATTATTAATATATCTGATCGTCAGGGCTTAAAGTTAAAACTCCTCTTACTGGTTGGTGTAGTGAAGTCACTTTAAAGAAGACACTGACAACTCATCGGCAGCTTGATGATAATTTCAGTTTATTACAACTTGAGTCTCATTTCTGTTAGTAAGGAGTGAATTTTATAGACATTCATGTTCAGAGGTTTAACCTCCAAACGAAGGTGTTTAGATAAACTGTTGGTTTACTTTTCTCTGACTGCTGTGCTCTGAGCTCCAAGATATTAAATCTGTGAATATAGTGTTACTGTTAGAAGTGATGGACAAAACTACAAAAATAAAAGAAGTGCTCTTTAACTTTAGAGAATCACACTTACCCAAAATATGAAAAACCACTATAGATTTGGTTGAAAGTGGATCAGTCAGCAGAAAGTCATCAGATAACACAAAAATAACAGACTTAAAATTTCCTCTTTCAATCATTAAACCCAGCGTTGGTTAGCTGATGAGTTGTCTATTTCCACATTAAAATGTTGATTGAAAATGTCGCCGTCTGTCAATACTTTGACTTGATTAGCGCTAAAATAGTTCGGAGGAACAAGTCTGTCCATCCAGAGGACAGGGACAGGAAACCCGCTGTGCAGCCACCCCTGTCTGTGCTGGCTGCACAGCGGCTGACAGGAAAAGGCTGCAGAGGGTGATAAGGTCAGCTGAGAAGACAATTGGCTGTCCCTTGCTCTCCCTGGATGACATCGCTAGCTCCCGATGCCTCACGCGAACAAGGAAGATCATTCGCGACCACCTCCATCCAGGACACCACCTGCTCAGCTTGCTGCCCTCTGTAAAGAGGTACAGGAGCATAAAGAGCAGAACAAACAGACTGAAAAACAGCTTCTTTCCGTGGGCTGTCAGGACACTCAATGCTCACATGAGTCACTAATGCCTCCTTTTACAGACTCTTACAGACTTAAGTGCAATACCTTCTTTTATTAAGTGCAATACAATTGTTTTTACTTATTGTTTTTATTATGACATGACCTGTTTGCTCTTGTCTCGTTTGTCTCGTTTGTCTTGTTTGTCTTGGGTTGTCTCCACTTGTTGTATTTTTGCTCTTATATTTATTTCTAATGCACCTTCAGTTGTGGCACTCCCAATTTCGTTGTATAGGTGTCTGTACAATGACAATAAAGGCTATCTTGGATCTTGAATCTTGAAAATATGACACACGTCCTGGCTCTGAGCTCCTAAACAGCCTCCATCAGACCCTTCTGCCCCAGGCTGTGATCTGCTCCACACACGCCTGGATGTGGAGCCATGGACTTTGTCATATTTTTCCTTAGCGATTTAGTGCCCCTACCCTCCAGGTGGCTGAACTTGTCTCTCTGGACATTAAACCTTGACAAGGTTTATTTTAGAGGGACCACTGTAGGTTGCTAGCATCGTGTAGCTAGTGCGCTAGTGTGCTAGCTAGTGGAAAAGTTGTCTACTTACACTTTAAGCAGGCAATTGCAAACACTTACAAACTACAAACTAATTGGCCAGATTAAAAAATGTTTGCCAGTTGCCACGCCACCTTACAGTCTCTGGTCTGCAGAGACATCTATTCTGAAAAAACAGGCTCCTGGAAACACTACCACAACGTGCTCTTGCTTTTGAACATGCTTTCTACGCATCTACATTAAGAAAACAGATCTGAGGACACAAAAAGCCTGGCAAGTGTTCAGGCCAAAAGAATGAATGGTGATGCTATAATAACAGATTACATTTAAATTCTGACAAAGGTAAATTATTTCATTCTTTATGTGCAGAGTGTTTCTAAAATGTTTCTTTCCTCTTCTTCTCTCAGGCCGCTGCAGCAGAGGGTGAATGTAGAGGTGAGAGCAGAAACTTGATTTCAGTAGCACCTGAAGGAGCAACAGAAATACATGTCACACTAATTTAAAATCACAATTAACCCTTTCAGTCCCAGGCCCTGCGGTTTTTTTCCTACATACATGTGTCCCCCTCTCAAAGTCTCCTAGTGGCTTCAGATATTCATGTTTTACATGTTTTTCTTTTTCAGAAAAAAAAAACAGGACAATGTAAACATATTATTTTTTTTTAAAGTGAATACTTTTAGTGAAGATTTATGGTGGATTATATAAACCTGAAGAATTTAGGCTAAGGTCCAGTTCAGTCCAGTGTTTGTGTACAAAATCGTCCCCTCAGGATGTCACACTTCTCCTCTGCTCTCTGACTGTTTCTCTGTCTAGTTCCCGACATTTGTTCTTCGATTACGAGCTTTCTGCTTCGCTTCCCACGCGTTGCCGAGTGTCTGCAGAGCTGCAGGAGGTTGATGCATGAGCATGACCTTACCCCGTCCAAACTGTCCATGCCAACTCCACCTCCGGAGCTCGCCCAGCTGACCCAGGAGCTGTCTCAGTTCCCCAAGCAGGCGCGCCAATGCTGCATGAGCATCGCCGGCCGCTTCACACGCCTTACCGCCACCTCCCAGCAGCCTCAGCAGCCTTAACCCCACCCTCCTCCAGCAGACCCTTTAGAAAGACCTCATAGACACCTCACTGTTGTGTAGACGTAAACCTTCAAAGTGCCTAACGGACCTTGATAACAGCCTTCACCCTCCCCATCATCACTCCCATCATGATCCACAGCTCCACACTGCTTCACCATCAGCTGCCAGCTCGCCATCCCGCAGGTGATCTCACAGGAGGTGATGTCTGTGCTGTGCTACGCTCAACTCCTCTGCTGCTTTTGACTGTTTCCTTTTCTTAAATAGAAACATTTAACCACAAAGGGACAATTGGTTCAGTGACAGTGACACAGAGACACAAAGAGACAGAGACATGACTACAAACAGCTCTACAGTCCAGTGCAGCAAAATAAACTGAAAATTCAATGATTCATTTACACAGAAGATGTATATTAAACAGTGTCTGATAAACTTGTTTGAAAGTTAAACCTGACGTTTAACTTGGTTTATCAGAGACATGAACCAGTCCAACAGATTGTCTGCTCTCTGTTTGAGTGAAGCTCCGGTGCTGAGGGTGGAGGACGTGGAGCAGGAAAAAGGCCTGAACATCCCCAAAATTATCACCACCTCAGAACCAGAGTTTAGATCTCTGAGTGTCCCCAACGTCCTGCTGTCAAAGCTCAGGTAACAGACACGTCTTCACCGTGCTAAACACACATGTTCACGTCATGTCTTTTTTATTCTAAGTTCATGTTCTGTGTTTCTATCTGTTTCTTCATGTTTATTTATTTGTCTTTATGTTGTCATGTTTAATTATTATCACATTTATATGTTTATGTCCAATAACAGTTTATGGGAAGAGTTTCAGTCTGGGTTCAGAGCTAAACACAGTACCCAGACTGTCTTTACCAAGGTCATCAACGACCTGCTTGTCGCTGCTGACCCCGGTCACCTAAACATACTGTTAGAGCTCACTGCTGCTTCTGATGCAGTCTGTCATCATCTTCGGTTTAACCAGTTAGAAACTCTACTCAGTGTTACTGGTACTCCTTTATCCTGGTTCAGATCCAGCCTCACATCCAGACAACAGTTTGTCTCCATTAGTGGCTTTAGATCTCCCTCATCCCCCCTGTCCTGTGGTGTTCCTCAGGGCTCAGTTCTTGGACCTTTATTGTTTATCATGTATATTCTCCCTCTTGGACATATTATACATCAACATGGTCTCATTGTCCACTGCTATGCTGACGATAGGCAACACTATATGCACACAAAGCCCTCGGACACTCTGCCACTATCAAACCTGACATTTCTTTTATTTATTTCATTTATTTTATTTATAAGGACAATGCAAATTAATCAACATTTCTGTAAATGTGCCAGTGTTAGCTAGCTGGCTAATTTTCAACTGCAGTCCATTGGCAAGATGTTTTGAAACCAATAACAGGATAAAATTCACAGGACAAAGACAACATAAAGACATAAAGACAGCAGTAACTACAGCAATTAGAAATTGTCAAGATGGAACAGAAGCCATGCAAAGCAACAAGCAACAGCAGAGCGAGCAACATGAAGCAGCAACGTACATTCACATTCAGAGATGCAGAGCAGCATTAGAAAGTAAACCTAGATGAAATACAATTGTCATGATAAGGGTTTAATAAAATGTTAAAACCTGCAGTTACAGGTAGACGATATGTGTCATGCTCTTACACACAAGTCAGGTGACAGAGAGAAAAATCAGCTGTGATCACGACACTGAACAGTGTTTCAACAAATCATAAAACATCTCACAGTCAGTACATCACAAAGCTAAGTCTGTGAGAGAATTATTCTTCTACTTTGTTCCCTTGTTGTTGTGATCATTGTGTGTCCATGTTGATGTCCTCATGTCCTCCTGCCGTGTCCCCTCAGTCCCTCAGGTGACCTGTCTGCAGACGAGGATGATGATGAGCCGTCGAAGAGCGGCCTGAAGACCTGGTCCAGTCAGGGAGACCTGCTGACTGCAGACAATGAGTGAGACACACACAGACACACACTCTGTCCTCCGTCCCAGTCACCTCTGTCCTCCACATTCACCGTCCTGTCTGTCTGTCCTGCAGGATCCGCCCTCTGTCAGCAGCCAGTGTCGGCAGCGTCGTGATCCAGGACCGTCTCAGCGACCTTGTCAGGATGTTTAGAGGTCGAACGGAGCGTCAGAAAGAGCGGCTGGTGGACCCGGACGAGTCTGAGGAGGAGAGTCCTTCAGCCTGTAAGAACTCGTCTTACAGACTTTGTCTCAGACATTAGTCTGCACCAGGTTTTTATCTTCTTCATGTTTCTGTCTTTGTTTAATGATGTACAAAGCAAATTCAATTAGCTCAGACTAACAGATCCGTCCATGTTGGTTCAAACTAACAGATCTGTCCATGTTGGCTCAGACTCAGATCTCTATGGCAACTGAGCAAACTGATGAGGACCATGTTAAATGGTCAAAAGGTTCAGACTGAGCAGGAAACTGGACTTTGAGTTGAGAGTATTTATCAACTGCTGTTTCCAGCAATGAGTGAGTGAAACTAATCATCTAAATTATAAACACATCATCATCTAGATTCTTTCTGATTGCTGCAGCCCCGAGCAAACCTCCACCTCCTCCTCCTCCTCCACCAGAGGAGAAGAAGGATGACACCCCTGCAGCAGCAGAAGAAGAAGAAGACGAGAAGGAGTATGTGCTCCCTTTTGAACTTCTGGGACGTCCAGTGAAAATTCCCAAACTGCCCAAACTTCCCCCAATGCCCGACTGGCTCCGAGTCATCCTTGAGTACCGCTTCCCCTCCAGCATCGACCCGTTTGGTGGTGAGCCTTTATTTCTCCCCACAGGACTGTAATATCTACTGTGAAAGCTTCATTTAAACATCCAGTAAGGAGGGTTCAGAGGGACACATCAGCAGAGACAGAATCATCTCAAAAAGTCTGAAAAGGCGGTGACTTCCTTAAGTATTTAAAATGTCTCAAATCAATCATTCAAAAGTCATTCAAATATTTCAGACTTGGGAGGTAGAATTTTTATGCCTCCACGCCGGCGACAGACGCATAAAAGTACAAAAAGTTAAAGGTACTGATTCTGCAGAATAATATATTTATGATATCATTGTTTTATAATTATTGATGCTTGAATGTGTTGATCAGTTTAAAGTTGATCATCTGGTGAAGGTGGCGCTCACTTTAATGACTTTATAAACTGCTGAGTTGTTTCATCTAAAACAGTAGAAAGAAGTAGAAAATGGAAAATAAAGAACAAGTATCTCAAAACTGTACTTAAGTCCGGTACTTTAGTAAATGTACTTTCCACCATGTTGACCTGATGTAATGAGGACTTCCTGTCCACATCTCCACAGATCTGATCTACGTGCTCTGGCTCTTCTGTGTGGTGGCAGCGTGGAACTGGAATGTGTGGTTGATCCCCGTCCGCTGGGCGTTTCCGTACCAAACCCCCGAGAACATCCACCTGTGGCTGCTGATGGACTACACCTGCGACCTCATCTACATCACTGACATCCTCGTCTTCCAGCCCAGACTGCAGTTCGTCCGTGGAGGAGACATCGTGGTCAGTGGATCGACAGAAACAAAACAAATCTGTTTTTGGTTTGAATTCAGAACAAATGATGTCTTTAACCTGAAACCGTTTGATTTCAGTGTGATAAAAAGGACATGAGAGAAAACTACATGACCACCGAGAGGTTTAAGGTAAGATTGACACCTGTAAGTCTGTCAGAGATGATGCAGAGAGAGAACTTTAGTTAATATCACATGGAAGCGTAAACCCTCCACAGGGTCGCAAGATGAATCCAAGAGGTCACACGATGATTCACACAAATTCATTTCTGCTGCACAAAGTTTATGACTTTCCATTGCCGTGTGTCACCTCTTCAGGACCCTTCAGGACCTGGTACTCTCTTCAGTGTAGGTGAAATTCTTAAAAAGTATTTTATTTTGTGCCCTGTTTGCTCACCTGGTAGTCATGACGTGTCCAGTCACAGTGAAGTGGAGCTACAGTCCCAGCTGGACGAGGACATCTAACTGGCCTACTGTCCTTGTCCCAGTATACAAGCACGGGAGGGGAATCCATTTATTGAGCCAAGTATGTGCGACTCCTCTACGATAGGTGGAGATATGCCCCCTTTCAGCTTGTTAGTATTGGACCTTTTTCCTGTTGACCTATTACGTCACAGACCAAACAATGGACAAACAAGTTAGCTACGGTTAGCTAGCAGCTAACTGCTACCATGGTGGACAACTTTACAGCTCTGTACATTTGGTTCGTCCAAAAAGTCACGGCTCTGGATGTAGATTTCTCCATGTTGTTACCGGCTTCTTCTTCTCTTACACATTTAATGCTATTGGACTTCCGGGTCAAAGCCCGGGGCGGAAACTGTGGAGCATGCTCAGAGCGCCTCGGCCAGTTTGGGTCTGACTGACTGTATACATGCAGGAGTCACATGATCTGGGTGTGTTAGTCCCACTGTGACACATTCACTGCAGGAACATTTCACTCACACTGACATGTTTACGTGTGTTTTAAAAGGTCGGACTGACACAATAAATTGATTTTCTCTGATGTCATGGAAATGTACTGAGAAGTTTAGTGAGTGTGTGTTTCATCACTGTTTGTGTGTGTGTGTCTGCAGATGGACATCATCAGCCTGTTTCCTATGGAGATATTTTACTATTTCACTGGAGTGAACTCTCTGCTGAGATTCCCTCGTCTGCTGAAGGTCAGGATGAGTTTTATCTTCCTGCTGATGTTCACATTGAGCGTTGAAGATAAAAACCACTGACTGTGTCTCTCCTCTCAGTACATGGTGTTCTCTGAGTTCAACGACAGAATGGAGGCTGTGATGAAGAAGGCGTACATCTACAGGTGAGAACAGTTTCATCACAGAGACGCGTTATTTATCACAACAACAGATGGACAACAAACAAACTACCAACCGCCCTCTGGTTGGTGCAGGTGTTCGGACACGTGTTTGTAGCGCCTCATAAAACAGGAAACATCTGATGTGAAAATTAACAGGTAACTGTTGAAATATTAATCCTCTGCGTGGCCCTTCTCTGCTGGTTTTTTGAGTAATGTATTCACACCAAACGCGACGCAATTACTCGCACAGGTTTGAACTCTACAGTATTTTGTGTTGACTCTCTTCATACATGCGTGAAATCGCTGAATCGATGAATGAACTTCTGCTGGTACGTCCTCAGCATCATACTTCCATGGAGGATCTCAGTGCTGATTGGAAGTTCAGATTTTCAGATTTCAGATGAAAGAATTTTCAGATGTCAGTTTTCTTCGCCAAAATTTTGCCTTACATTGGAGTTTTATTGACAGGCTGTGGTTGGTACCACTCCATTCATTAGGTCTTCTTATTTCATACAGTTTCACCTGATACCAGTATCTTCACTCTAGCATAAAAACTCAGCCCGTTACAGCCTCTTAAAGACAGGAACGTCGGCCCTGTTTGTCTCAGAGGCAAAGTGGCCCCAGAATTGATCCCTGAAGAACCCCACATGTAATTATTTTAGTGCATGTGTTAGTGTGAATTCATTTCATTTAATCTTCCACTTGTATATTTGTTGTTGTTGATGTTGTTTTTGTGTGTTAGGGTGATCCGAACCTCCACCTACCTGCTGTACTCTCTGCACATCAACGCCTGTCTCTTTTACTGGGGCTCAGACTACGAAGGACTCGGATCCACCAAGTGGGTTTACAATGGAAAAGGCAACGCGTAAGTCTGTGATGCTTTGGCTCCAAATTACACTGTTAATACACGTCAGTACTGATCTGGGATCTGTGTTTGTTTAGAAGTGACAGAAACAGAAATGTTCCACTTTTAAGAAGTCAGACAGATGGAGGATGGTGGAGTTAAAGAGGGCGGTGGAGTTGCAGGTGTCCTGTGGAGTTCTGACCACTATAGCGCCATGTTAGTGAATGCTAATGTTTTTATGAGTCAGTCACATAGACTCTATAAAATCAAGAACGTAGCCACTGTGGCATCACTCATTGGTTTGTCACCATACTGGAATTTTTAATTTCGGTACAACATCTTTAGACTATTGATACTCGTACTCGTCTCTTACTCGTCGTCCTCCGCTTATCCGGGTCTGGGTTGCGGGGGCAGCAGCCTCAGCAAAGAAGCCCAGACAGTCCTCTCCCCAGCCACTTCCGTCAGCTCTTCCGCGGGAACCCCAAGGCGTTCCCAGGCCAGCCGGGTGATGTAGTTCCTCCAGCGTGTTCTGGGGCGGCCCCGAGGTCTCCTCCCGGTTGGACACGCCTGAAACACCTCCCAAGGGAGGCGTCCAGAAGGCATCCTTACCAGATGCCCGAACCACCTCAACTGGCTCCTCTTGATGTGGAGGAGCAGCTGTTCTACTCCGAGTCCCTCCCCGATGTCTGAGCTCCTCACCCTATCTCTAAGGCTGAGCCCAGACACCCTGCAGAGGAAACTCATTTCGGCTGCTTGTACTCGCGATCTCATTCTTTTGGTCACTACCCAGAGCTCATGACCAGCTCATGAAAATGGGGACCACCACAGTGCCTCTGCCACTCCAGAGGCACTGCCCCCGATGTCCACGCAATGTTGCAGAGGCGTGTCAGCCAGGACAGCCCTACAACATCCAGAGCCTTGAGATATCCAGGACGAATCTCATCCACCCCCGGGGCTCCGCCGCCTTGGAGTTGTTTCACTACCTCGGCAACTTCTGCCCCAACCATTTTTAATATGACGGGAAAAACTGGCACTGAAGGTAATCAATCAAAATTAATTATTTTGTATGTGTATGACCAAAGTGAGAGCTGTATCTGAATACTCAGCATAAAGTCAAACACATTCTAGACTCCACCAGGGTTGTCCCTTGTCACCGATCCTGTTTGTGATTTTCATGGACAGGTTCTTGAGGTGCAGCCGGGGGAGAAAGGGGTCTGGTTTGGTGACCTCAGAATTGCTCTTTGCTCTGCTTTTTGCTGATGATGTGGTTCTGTTGGCTTCATCACACCGTGACCTCCAACATGACCTGGGGCAGTTTGAGTGTGAAGCCGTCGGGATGAGAGTCAGCACCTCCAAATCTGAGGTCATGGTTCCCTGCTGGAAACAGGTGGATTGTTCCCTCTGGGTTGGGACATAGTTACTGCGTCAAGAGAAGGAGTTCACGTATCTCGGTGTCTTGTTCATGAGTGAGGGGAGAATGGAGCGTGAGATGGATCGGTGGTTTGGTGCGCAGCGTGATGTGGGCACTAAGCCACTCCTTCGTGGTTCAGAGGGAGCTGAGCCAGAAGGCAAAGCTTTCGATTTCCTGGTCCATCTCCGTCCCAACCCTCACCTATGGTCATGAGCTCTGGGTAGTGACTGAAAGAATGAGGTCACAGATACAAGCGTCTGAAATGAGTTTCCTCTGTAGGGTGTCTGGGCTCAGCCTTAGAGATAGGGGGAGGAGTCAGACATCTGGAGGGAGCTCGGAGTAGAGCCGCTGCTCCTTCATGTTGAGGTGGTTCAACATCTGATCAGTATCCTCCTGGTTCAACTCGTAGGAGGCCCCGGGGCAGAGCCCCGGAAACTGTCGCTGAGGAGAGGGATGTCTGGGGAACTTTGCTTGGACTGCTGAAACTGGATGACCATAGGTGAGGGTTGGGACGGAGATGGACCAGGAAATCAAAAGCTTTGCCTTCTGGCTCAGCTCCCTCTGAACCACGAAGGAGTGGCTTAGTGCCCACATCACTGCAGACACTGCACCAAACCATCAATCCATCTCATGCTCCACTCTGACCTCACTTGTAAACAAGACCTCGATATACTTGAACTTATTCTCTTGAGGCAGTAACTCTCTCCCAGGGGAACAATCCACCGTTCTCCAGCAGAGAACCATGACAATGACGACTTTTCTTTTCTCGATCAGTAGCAGAGAACAGCAGGATGACTGAAGGGAACAATAACATGAGCACAGAGCTAGAAAGCAGCTATGTGTATAAATCTGTGCTTAAGTGTCTCTTAAAGAGATTAAACGGTTCATTTTGTGAAAACATGAAAAGTATTAGAAAGTAAAATTAGCGAGTTACTGATTTTTATTAATTTCCAGAAACAAAATTCACGTATCTGTAAGTTTGGTGATTAGAATGTTTTTGTCTGTTGACATGTTCCTTTATGAGCCGATAACATTTTTCTGTTTCTGCAACACATCCTGTCAAAGCCACCGTATCAAGCCAAAAACAAGACATGTTTACTGGAGAGTTTATGGTTTGAACAAACATGATTTTCAGCTGAGTGCAGCGATGTGATGTTACTTTAAATAAACACTGTGAGAAGAATTTCTTTGTGTACATTTATACATTTATACATTTCACGTTCAGTTTTTGTTTCTCTCCTGCAGTTATATCCGCTGTTACTATTTTGCCGTGAAGACGCTGATCACCATCGGAGGGCTGCCGGACCCCACCACTGTCTTTGAGATCTGCTTCCAGCTCATTAACTACTTTGTTGGCGTCTTTGCGTTCTCCATCATGATCGGTCAGGTCAGTTAATCATTTTTAATTTCTGGGTGCTGTTTATAATAATAATTAACATTAAAAAGTTCTTTACAGTAAATCAAGGATTAAAAACAATGAAAGAAGATAAAGGTCTGATTCTTTGAGCGCTAACGAATGTGACTGTGATCGTTTGGTCTCAGATGAGAGACGTGTTCGGAGCTGCGACGGCCGGTGAGAACTACTACCGAGCCTGCATGGACAGCACCATCAAGTACATGACCTCCTACAACATCCCGCGAGAGGTCCAGAACCGCATCAAGACCTGGTACGACTACACCTGGAAGAGCCAGGGCATGCTGGGTAAGCAAACCAGACAGTAAGATGTGTGGATAACAGAGACGTGACGACGCAAGAGCCAAAGATTTGGTTTGGTCATTGATGGTACTTTTAACAAACGTCGACTCCAGACACACTCTGATAGTAGAAAATTCATTTTCAAATTTAAAACATGTGAAAACAGATAAGATTAAAGGCTCATTCCAGAAACTGGAAACAGAATGCTGGATATTCAATATTAACATTTCTGCGTATTTTATTTAAGGTTATGTCAGAAAGTAAATCAGGAGGTTTTTCTTTGGCGTAAATTGCATAATCCTCTGTGAGCTACAGACCTTAACACAACATTTCCTCAGGAAACAGTTTATAAGATCACTTTTGAAAATTAACTGGTACGTGTAATATATAACAAATTAACGCCACATGAAAGTGTCGTCACGTTATTTACTAAACTTTAAGTTATGTACCTCATGTAAAGTGAGGTAGGCTATGTTTATAAGGAACTTACAGGAAGATACATAAGTAAACTTTGTCCCTGAATGTCTCGTGTTTAGTTCAGGTACATTCATTTTTCATTTTCATTTATTCATTTATTGAATTGGGACAATGCACATTAATCAACACTAATGCAATAAACATCGATGTAAATGCGCCAGACTTAGCACAAATGCTAAATTTAAAATGAGACAAACATCCATGAAGAGTTGATAACTGTCTGAGTCAAGAATATTAAACTTTTTTAAAATATTACAATAATGAAAATGAGGAGGTTTCCTATCCAAACATTTAACTGCCTTCTTGAAGAGAGACTTGATGGGTTTTAATGTACATTCTGTTGTGTGTGTCCAAGCTGTAAAACAATAATTTATGTGTGAAAATATCATGGCATGCATATAGACTTTAGCTGTCTAGAGGAGGTCTTATATGACGGAATCTTGACAGGTTGAATTTGATGATAACGTGCTTTAAATGCTAAAATTGTGTCAAAAACCACTCCAAGATATTTGAACTCTTCCTCTGCATCAAGGCTCTCTCCATTGACCACTACAGAGGGTTGGTCGCCCTCTGCTGACTGACGGGAGAAAAACATACATACAGTCTTTTTAGTGCTGAGCTGCAAACAAGATTCTTTAAGCCTGTGAAATGCAGGTGCCAATGCTGCTGATAATACTGCAGCAGCTTCTTGCTTTGTTTTTGCATGGACATATATTCAGAGCATTGTGGTGTTTTCTCTGCAGATGAACAGGAGCTGCTGGTGCAACTTCCTGCCAAGATGAGGCTCGACATCGCTGTGGACGTCAACTACTCCATCGTCAGTAAAGTCGCCCTGTTTCAGGTCAGAAGACAAAAATAGATGCTGTGTTTTTTACTGTGAGACACGCTGAGAGACAAACTGAGAGATTCTGTTTGATGTGGAGACAGACACAAAAAACAAAACTGATATTTGAAGTTGTGTGTGTGTGTTTCTGTGTGTCTGTGTGTGTGTTCAGGGCTGTGACCGACAGATGGTGTTCGACATGCTGACGAGGCTCAAATCTGTGGTGTACCTGCCCGGAGACTTTGTCTGTAAAAAGGTGAACACACACCTGTGTGAACTGTTTCTGAGCGCTGAGGCAGCAGATGTGTGTGTGTGTGTGTGTGTGTGTGTGTGTTGACCTGCTCTGTGTGTGTGTGTTGCAGGGGGAGATCGGCAGGGAGATGTACATCATTAAACAGGGGGAGGTTCAGGTGGTGGGCGGTCCCGACCTGCAGACGGTGTTCGTCACCATCAGAGCCGGCTCGGTGTTCGGAGAGATCAGGTCAGAGCTACTTCCTGTCATCCTATTAACTCACTTACAGTCAGTATGTGGGGCGGCCTGGTGGTCTTAGGTCCTCTCGGTTCACTGTGGGACGTCTGTGTGGACTGACGGACAAGGGAAACATTCGTTAAATGTCATGAAGTTCCACTGGTGACTCTGAGAGATGATGTCCTGCACAAACACACAGTTTACTTCCTGTCAGAACAATGTGTTAGAAGAGTTCTTCACACTTTTATCACACTCCTGTAACGGAGTCAGACTCATGATGGGCACGTAAAAAAAAACAGGATCAAAATTGACGCAGCAGAATCAATCAAACTCCACACCTCCAGATTTTTTAACTTTTCAAACTTGTTGTCTTCAACTGACGCTGACTCGAGTGACATCACTTGCGGACATATAGCAGACGTCACACAGCTTCTGTGGAGACACTGAAGGTGCAGCAAAACTCTCCAACACCTGTAAACACACAACCTTTACAGCAGGGGTGGACGATACCACAAAATCTGTTTAAGATTCAATACAAAGTAATGGTATGACCGCAGCTTTTAATTGTTGCCAGGCAACCACCCGCCAAAACTACTTACTTCTTTCTCAGTAATCAGTGTGTAGCTGCTGCCATGTTGAGGCAGAGGGTGCTGTCTGTAGCTCTGGTTGAGGGTGAGAGGCTGTCAGCAGATAAACAGAGATCTGTGTGGGTACATGAGACCCTAAAAAAGAGGCTGGATCATGGGGAGTACCACCAGTTGGTCCAGGAGCTTCTCCTCCATCATGGACGTTTACAGGCAGATTTTAGGACGACTCAGGGGCAGTTTGACAACCTGCTGTCTATCATCAGGCCGTATAGCTCTGGGTATCCAGCAACCTCTACCACCAGTTTCTCCTCCACTGTTTACCAACTGTTAACTTGTCGTGACCACCACAGAAGCCCCGCCTCTCAGATCATCTGATTAGACAATGGGAAAAAGCTTTGATGACGTGAGGCGCTTTTCTGCTCTGAGTTGAAGCTTTTTCAACTCGGAGGAGTTCAGAATGCTCTGGCAAAATCGCCAGACACCTAGAGCGCAGACACACGAGGCGTGTAGCAGCATAAAAACAGCGGCGAAACACTTAATTCTCATTGAAAACTATTAAAAAAACGCCTCCAGCTGCTAAGATGCTTATGCTGCGTTCATTTTGTACTCGGAGGTCGGATGTCGGTAGTGGGAATGACGTCACCTCAGAGTTGACAACAATTTTTGCATTCTAGTTGACAACAGTGGACAAGTCAGAAAAAACATGGACGCCCGCAAGAAAGCCTTTGTTGCCCTCACACTTTCAGAGTATAGACAGCTTCAGAACCATCACGCACTCCAACTGATGAACGCCGCAGATGAGGCTGATCTGATGTGAAACAAATAAGATAAAATTGCTATAAACAGTACTTTAGCAGAGTGTTTACTCACTGTGTATGTGACCGGCAGCCATCTTGAATTCATAAGTTGGGGTTGATGCGGTTGCTCCGAGTTTCAGAGTTGGAAATCTGATCTCAGGGTGCGTTTGAGTTTAAACTTCCAACTGGGAACTGGGAATTTCCGACCTCCGAGTACAAAACGAATTCACCATAAGTGTGTGTGTGATTGGGGCTGTACTTTAGGAATGTGGATATGCTAACTTGTTTGATTTAATGAACGTGACTTTTTCTCTGAGGATGAACTCTTTCTCCGCCAGCACGACTGCAGACTTTTACTTTCTCCAGCTCTGAAAATATTTCCAGTCAGAGAATAAAGTCTACCTTCATCAGTAAATCTAAAAACTACACGTTCCTGACTGTAAAAAAAACAGGTGATGACTTGTGTGATTAATTTAAAGCAGGTTGACACACTGACGTCTGACGGCTCTTTCCTTTCTGTGATTGGTCAGTTTGCTGGCGGGAGGCGGAGGGAATCGACGTACAGCTAACGTGAAGGCGCACGGATTCGCCAACCTCTTCATCCTGGATAAGAAGGACCTGGCAGAGATCTTGGTGCACTACCCCGAGTCCCAGAAACTCCTCCGCAAGAAGGCCAAGTAAGACTCAGTCCTGTCCCTGAAATATTGCCTGGACAACTTAAGAACAAATCGTCAGCAACAGCACCTGAGGAAGAATACACTCATTAAGTTCACTGAGTTCATTAAAACAAACAGAGTTCCCTTCAGAAGAGATGAATTCACACACTGACACAGACGCGAGCTGTTAATGAGTCGGAGGACAGGTTACTCAGAGTCAGACTCTTATGATCAAAACACATAAATTAAAGGGTTGTTAGCAGACATCAGGGGGCAGCAGCTGACAGCAGAGAGCGGGTTTGTTGGTGTCATGAAAAACACGGTAGCACTGCAATATATTAAACAGAGTTAAAAATATATAAATATTTTTAACATCATGTACAATATTACTTTTCAACATCACCATCATTTGTCAATGTAGTGCTAAATCTTTTGTCAAAATCAAAGTCACGTGCACACTTGTCTGATCAGTGGTTTGAATCTTGAAGCCTGGTGACCGACATCTGGACACGTGGTGATTAAAGCAGCCGGAAGCTTCAGGATGTTTCTCCACCTGCTGTCGTACCTGTGCATTAAACACAGGATCATCAGTCTGAAGTTTAACACTCAGTGACCTGACAGAACAAACAAAGCATCTCACTGCAGCTCGACAACACCAGCAGATAAAGAGCAGAGACTCTGCAGCAGCAGCAGCAGCAGCAGCAGCAGCCTTAGAGGAAGATTAGAGCTTCTCTGAGGTATTTAGTACTTCCTGTCTAGACGAGCCAGTTAATTAAATTGGCCGCAGCGTGCACGTGAGGCTCTGCAGTGGGCGTGCCTGTTGAACCTGTGTTCCTGCTGGTGTTTCCCTGCAGCTGATGAAACAGTCCAGTTTGTGTTAACAAACATGACCTGACGTGTGTGAGGCGTTCGCTGCAGAATGGGAGGAAGTCCACCGGAGTCAGGAGGGTGTTGTTCATGACAAGTGAAACTGATGGTCACATTAACAACAGCTCTTATGTGAAACAGACAGTAGAAGCTGCAAAGAAACAGCAGAGATCATTAATGTGGAATTATGACTTTTAAGCATAAGTCAATAAATCAGAAGCCCACCTGCTGCCTGCTCTACCCTCCTTCTGTCTCCGTCACGTTCCTCCCGTCTGTTCCGTCTCATCTGTCCTGGACAGGATTAGACTCGGCTCTATAATCTGCTCACTCAGGTCAGCGTGCTCTGTGGGGCAGACGGTGAAGGAATGGGGTCAGATGGTCGGAGCGATCCTCCTGCTGGGCTTCATGCTCTCAGCTGATCTGCTCAGTCAGATCATGGTGCTGCAGCAGGCTGGATGGGGGTGCTGCAGGTGGTGGTGAGGGTTTGAAATGTGCCGTCGTTTGTCTGTTTTATCTGAGCAGCTGTTTGTGTAGAAACGTCTTTATAGAAAGTGTTGAATGTTGCTGAGCTCCAGTGTTTTGTGTGACTGTGTGACTGTGTGACTGTGTGTGTTTGTAGGACGATGCTGACGAAGGATAAGAAGCCAGATGAGAAGGCAGCAGGTAAAGAGGCGGTGCAGGTGATCCCGCCCCGACCGGACACCCCTGAGATGTTCAAGGCAGCGCTGAAGGTGACGGAGCAGGTGGGAATAGAGGGCGTCTTCTCCAAACTGAAGACAAGCTACAAACCGTCTGAGAGCTCAGCAGAGGTGAGACTCATTCAGCTTCTGTTTACCTGGTTTCATGCTGCTCCGCTAACCGCCTGCAGGGGGCAGCAACGTGCAGAGAGACAGTCATGTGTCAGGAAACAGCAACAAAGAGGGAGAACATGGACGTGTTTCTGTTTCACTGTGTTTAAAGGTTCTGTATGTGACTGTTATCAGTGACACCTCCTCTGTCAGCGTCCTGTTGATCAGCCTCCGTTAGCATCGACCAAAACACTGACGAACACGAGTGACTTAGATTGACTGTCATCATGTTTAAAATAAATTACAGTCATATTTAGAGTATGTAATGTTCCTATATTTCATTTGGACCAGTGGCTCCCTGATTTGAACCAGCTTACTGTTAATAATTACTTAAGTAGTCGACAGTACAAAGCGTGTGTGAGTAGCTAAAATACAGCTAGCTGGCTAACATTAGCTCAGGTTACAGTTAGCTTGTTAGCTGCGGCAGCATCGCTCTTGACTAAAAGGCACTTTGTACTGTTCATCTATTGTTGGCTAAACCGATATAATGTTTGTTAGAATACATCAGTTAATATCATGGATCATGTTAGCCCGGGGAAGTAATTTAGCGAGCTAGCCAACTGACACATTTAGCTTAATACAGAGCGTACTCAAATTATTTATTTTTAATTTTTTAAATTATTAATACAAAAGGATCAGATTTTAGACACAAAGTACATTCACACTGCAGAGTACAGGAAATGAAAATGCAGCGTACAACTGGCGGTTTACACTTCTCACCCTCAACGGTCGCCATCTTTGTTACGTAGCAAACTTCTCAGCTCTTGACATGGCAGCTGGAGACAACAAGGGAGTTACATGTGTGTTTGCACTAAGCACCAAAACTGCTGTTGAATTAAAGCCGTCAGTGATGTTTGTTGAGTCTGTGGTGATTTGGCACCATGGACAATAATGTGAGCGCTAACGTTAGTATGCTAGCTAACGTTTCAGGAAATACTGGGGAAAGAACAAAATGATGAAGGAAAAGAAGAGCAGAGGAAAGAACGGAAGAAGGAAGGACAAGAAGGGTAGAACAGAAGAAAGAGAGGAAGGATGGAGGAAAGGTAGAGCGGAAGAAAGATGAAAAGAGAAATGAGAAAGGAAGGAAGGATGTAAAAGAAGGAAAAATGAGAATGAAGGAAGATGGAAAGGAAGAACAAAAGAAAGAAAAGAGGAAAGAAAGAAAGGAAGGAAGGAAGAAATAAGGATGGAAAAGGGAAGAAAGGAAGGAGGAAATGTAGAACAGGTGGAAGGACAAAAGATGAGAAAGGAAGGAAGGATGTAAAAGAAGGAAAAGAGGAGAAAAGAAAGAGGAAATATTGGGGAAACAACAAAAGGAAAACCAGAAGAAAGAAAGGAGGACAGTAAGGAAGCAAGGAAAGGAACAAAAGAAAGACAGGAAGAAGGGAAGGTGGAAAGAAAGACAAATGAGAAAGGATGGAAACAAGGAGAAAACAAAGAGGAAATATTGAGAGGAGAACAAAAGGAAGAAGAAAAGGAAGAGCAGGAGAAAGAAAGGGAGGAGAGGAGAGGAAAGGAAGGAGGAAAGGTAGAATGGCAGAAAGGTGGAAAGAAAGAAATGAAATAGGAAGGAGGGATGTGAAGGAAGAAAAAAGGAGAAAAGAAATGAAATATTGGGGAAAGAACAAAAGGAAGAAGAAAAGAGGAAACAGAAGAAAGAAAGGAGGAAAGTGTGTAAGGAAGGAAGGAAGGAAGGACAGGAAAGGTAGGATAGAAGAAAGGAAAGATTGAAGGAAGGAGGACAGAAAGATAAAAGAAATTAAGGAAAGAATAAAGAAAGACAGATTGATCCTCTCCTCTTGTCGTCTCCTCCTCCCTCCCAGGTTCTTCCCTCCATCTCTCCGGTGCCCCCTCCCTCTCCGATGCACCGCCGCTCTCCGGTCCCTCTCACCGCGGTTCAGGACGATGATGACGCCGTGTCGGAGACGGCCGACAGTTCGGTGATCATCAGGATGACGCCGCGACCACAGGGGGAGGAGGTGCTGACCGTGGAGGTGGCGCCTGGGGACTGAGAGGAGGAGAAGAAGGAGTGAGGAGACAGGAAGCTGTCGTCCTCTCAGGATTCAGTCGGCTTCCCAGAATGCCTTTCAGCAGCCTCCGCAGAAGAGACGTGGGTTTCAGGTGGAGGTGGAGAGAAACACGACGGACCCCAGAGCATCATGGTCCCTGTCCTCCTCCTGCCAGCTCTGTTTCTTCTTCTCTGGTGGATTCTCCACACGTCCTCGTCCTCCTGGTGTTAGACACATTTTAAATCTGTGCAGAAGAAGAACTCTGAGAACAGTCACACACATGATGTCATCTCAATATATTCAAATGTTCCTCCTCTCTGGGTGCTTCTCATTCGCTTTTTACTTGTCTCCTTGTTTCCTTCGCTTGTTTCTTTTCCTCATGTCCCTCTGAAGGCCGTGAGGACGGACGCAGGAGGAAACAGGAAGTAGTGACCTGAGACGTCAGCTGTCAGTCGGCTTTAACTCGTCTGTGATGAACTGTACTGCAGATATTTAGAGAGGATAAACTGCTGCTGTAAAGTTATCGTACGACACGTAGATCCAGTCAGACGATCTGATTGGTTAACTAGACATTGAGAGCGTGCTCAGATCAGCGTGAACGCAGCTGAATATAAAACCAGTCGGATGGTTTCGTTGTTGAATTTGATTAAAATCATCTTTAATGAAAATCATATCTGGTGTCGTTAGATTGCTGTTAGCCGACCTGATGTTAAAGAACAGACCACAGAGGAAATGTTTTTAAAAGCTAAACGCAGACGGATAGAGACTGAAGCAGAATATTTTGATAGACAAATTAATTTTGGAAATGATTACAAAGATCTTTTTTCAATAAATTTTGACCTCTGACTTCAACCTGTTCTGGAGTTACCTGTTATTGTTTGGATCATATCAGCTATGACACACCACAGGTGACGTTTGCTGATGACGTATTTAAATCTGTCCATGAAAAATTATTATTATATAAGATCTGAGGCAGTTTGTGTTTCTCTGTGTCGTGTTCATTCTGTTTGGTAAATCCCTCCAACTCTGCAGAGGAGGGCTGCGTATCGCCACCCATTTCCTTTTTGTTGGATTTGATTTGATATCAATTCGATTTGATTACGATTCAATATTGATTCGATTTGATATCAATATGATTCGATTTAGATATCGTTATAACTTGATATCAGTTTGATTCCATTTCAATTCAATTTGATATTGATTTGATTTGATATTGAATCGATTTGTATGATAATTATTTAAAGAGCCTCCACACCTCTTTGGCCACATGTTCATATACAGTGACTCCATTTCCCAGAGTCCCTAGCTTCTGTTGTGCAGCTTTAGTGCCTGTCAGCACTGTGGCCTTCACTGAGCTCATTATGTCTCAGAAGCAGCTTCATATTTCACGTGAAGATGATGACGATGGAGAAGTTCATAGTTTTGTTTTTATTGTTAATGTTTTATTGTTATTGATAATACTACTATTACTACTACTTAGGATAATATTAATAATGATAAACGTTATTTCTATAGCACCTGTCATACAAGAAATGCAGCACAGAGAGCTTCACAATAAGAGCATGAGTGATTCAAATTCATAAATCATAAAATCAAGTAAGACACAACATTTTAAATGGCTGCAGCAGCGTGAAGCGTAAAAACAAAGAGTGTCAGAGCTGAATGAGGAGAGTCAGAGCGAGTTAAAGTCTAAAGTGAACAGATAAAAATATTCAGCGAGCAGCTTCTCTGATATCTGAAGGTCGTGTGTTCATAACTTTGGGGCGTCACTGACGGCGCTGCGTCCCTGATCTTCTTCCAATAATCCAGCAGCAGATGATCGCAGTGTTCTTGGAGACAAAGAGTTAACAAGGGACTTAGTGACGCAGCTCGGCCCCAGCCCGTGGAGGGATTAAATGTGAGGTTACATCTCTTGGTGTGATCCTGCAGGATTTTAGTTTTGTCTTCATTTACCTTCAAAAAAGTTTTGCTCATCTATTTATTTATTGCCAAATCACAGGTAGTGATGGACGTCATGGCTGCAGCATCGTAAATCTGTGTCGCCTGTTCGAGGTCAGATAGTGAAGGTTCAGCTCTGAGGTGATGAGACATAACTGTGTGTCTCTGCTCCGTCCAGCTGTGACTGTTTCCTGTTTCCACTGTCAATAACTTTGACACAAACTGAGCTCTTTAATGATTTTACTCCACTGGTTTCCAGGTCAGTCAGGATCATCAGAGTGTGTTAGACCGTCAGACTCAGCTGGTATTATCTAACAGTCAGTGTCCAGGCTCAGTGTCTCTGTGATCAATGCAGTGGGACAGAAAGTGTCCAAATATAAAATGTCTCTCAGAGTCAATGTTCATATTTTAATTCATTCAGACAGAAGCGTCTCTGTTCCCTGAGATCAGATATCAGTAACGCAAAATGATTTAGGGAAATTTTTAGGTTAGGATCAGAAATCATGTGGCCTCATCACACGTCCTGTCAAACTAACATCTGTTTGTGGTTCTGTGACGTATCGTCCACTCTGTCGCCTTTCATACTGCAAAATCAGACCAGATGCAGTCAAACATCCTGGTATTTTTATGCACACTGTGTTTGCTGTGTCCCAGGACATACTAAATCTGATTCTGGCGTACTGTATCGTCTGGTGGTGTGGAGGGTTTGGAGCGCACAGTCGGTGCCTCCCATGTTTAGAAAAAGAGGAAAAGCTTGAGGAAGCAGAGGAAGCTCTCATTGTGTCAGTCTGAGGCGCAGAGGAAACACAGGGAACCAGAAAAGGCGGGAAAACAGAAACAATGCTGCTGAACACAGGAAGCTGCATCATCACTGCTGATTAATGACAGCAGAAGAAGAAATGTGTCACACTGAACAGAGTGCATCAGGGATGACGTTTTTTTTTAGGGCCAAGCCTGAAGACAGCATCGCCCTGGTTCCCTCATCACAAAGCCAACAGGATGTTTCCATTGGGGTTTGGATTATTACAGAAAATAAACTCTGTGACGAACAAATGTTTCTGATCCTTCAGGTTTTGTTCAGTGACATAAACTTCACTGATGAACTTTATGATAATTGAAGAATTAATTCAATCAGCAAAAGGAAAAAGCTAACGTTAGGCCGTAAACAAACTACACCACGGTCACACGACTTAACATCACCGCCACAACCGGGCCGTAAACAAACTACACCACGGTCACACGACTTAACGTCACCGCCACAACCGGGCCGTAAACAAACTACACCACGGTCACACGATGTAACGTCACAACCAGGCCGTAAACAAACTACACCACGGTCACACGACGTAACGTCACCGCCACAACCGGGCTGTAAACAAACTACACCACGGTCACACGACTTAACGTCACCGCCACAACCGGGCTGTAAACAAACTACACCACGGTCACACGACTTAACGTCACCGCCACAACCGGGCCGTAAACAAACTACACCACGGTCACACGACTTAACGTCACCGTCACAACCGGGCCGTAAACAAACTACACCACGGTCACACGACTTAACGTCACCGTCACAACCGGGCCGTAAACAAACTACACCACGGTCACACAACGTAACATCACCGTCACAACCAGGCCGTAAACAAACTACACCACGGTCACACGATGTAACGTCACAACCAGGCCATAAACAAACTACACCACGGTCACACGACGTAACGTCACCGTCACAACCAGGCCGTAAACAAACTACACCACGGTCACATGACGTAACGTCACCGTCACAACCAGGCCGTAAACAAACTACACCACGGTCACATGACGTAACGTCACCGTCACAACCAGGCCGTAAACGAACTACACCACGGTCACATGACGTAACGTCACCGTCACAACCAGGCCGTAAACAAACTACACCACGGTCACATGACGTAACGTCACCGTCACAACCAGGCCGTAAACAAACTACACCACGGTCACATGACGTAACGTCACCGTCACAACCAGGCCGTAAACGAACTACACCACGGTCACATGACTTAACGTCACCGTCACCACCAGGCTGTAAACAAACTACACCACGGTCACATGACGTAACGTCACCGTCACAACCAGGCCGTAAACAAACTACACCACGGTCACATGACGTAACGTCACCGTCACAACCAGGCCGTAAACGAACTACACCACGGTCACATGACGTAACGTCACCGTCACAACCAGGCCGTAAACAAACTACACCACGGTCACATGACGTAACGTCACCGTCACAACCAGGCCGTAAACAAACTACACCACGGTCACATGACGTAACGTCACCGTCACAACCAGGCCGTAAACGAACTACACCACGGTCACATGACTTAACGTCACCGTCACCACCAGGCTGTAAACAAACTACACCACGGTCACATGACGTAACGTCACCGTCACAACCAGGCCGTAAACAAACTACACCACGGTCACATGACGTAACGTCACCGTCACAACCAGGCCGTAAACGAACTACACCACGGTCACATGACTTAACGTCACCGTCACCACCAGGCTGTAAACAAACTACACCACGGTCACATGACGTAACGTCACCGTCACAACCAGGCCGTAAACAAACTACACCACGGTCACATGACGTAACGTCACCGTCACAACCAGGCCGTAAACAAACTACACCACGGTCACATGACGTAACGTCACCGTCACCACCAGGCCGTAAACAAACTACACCACGGTCACATGACGTAACGTCACCGTCACAACCAGGCCGTAAACAAACTACACCACGGTCACATGACGTAACGTCACCGTCACAACCAGGCCGTAAACGAACTACACCACGGTCACATGACTTAACGTCACCGTCACCACCAGGCTGTAAACAAACTACACCACGGTCACATGACGTAACGTCACCGTCACAACCAGGCCGTAAACGAACTACACCACGGTCACATGACGTAACGTCACCGTCACAACCAGGCCGTAAACGAACTACACCACGGTCACATGACGTAACGTCACCGTCACCACCAGGCCGTAAACAAACTACACCACGGTCACATGACGTAACGTCACCGTCACCACCAGGCTGTAAACAAACTACACCACGGTCACATGACGTAATGTTACCGTCACAACCAGGCCGTAAACAAACTACACCACGGTCACACGACTAAACATAACACATTAAATGTGTTGAAGTTACGTCTCTTTGTGAACCATATTTCACCTACCAGTGCAAAATGAATTTGGAGAAATACCTGCGCACCTGTCCTTACCATCTCTCGTTTGACCTACAACTGAACACATTATGAAAATAAACAAATCTGTAATTTTGACAGGTTGATGTTGTGATGTGTTGAAAGACGTCTTTGACATTCAGACCAGTTTGAAGTTAATTTAAACTTTTCTTTCCTCTGTTTTATCAGTTCTTTTAAAAGTTGTTGTTTTCATGTCTCGTCTGTTTAAATTATCAACATGTGAAGCACTTAGAAAATAATATTGCAATTATTTATTTATTTATTTATGTTATTGTTGTTTTTGTTTATTTTTTCCTCCAGATTCCCCTAAATTACACCCTTGATTTTTCCAAAAGAAGGTCCCATGGTGGTCCACTGTAGACATGAGACTATCTCAAAATGTTGAACTGCTCCTTTAGAAGAAAAATCGCACTTGACGTTAAAGTTTTATTTAAATCAAACTTTATTAAACAGACAGACATGACCGTGGATAAATGTGGTAATAGTTTCTGTGAACAAATAAAATATAAATTAGTTATTGAAGTTACATTAATGAAAACATGTCAAAACTTTTCTCCTTATTTGAATCCTGGAACTTGTCTTCATGTGGTCCAGAGCCACAAACCCGACCCGCCCTCGTTTCTATAAATTTAGTGTTTTTCCCTTCGCTCA